TTTAGGATGCGCATTCCGCTCGACCTGAGGGGAGAAAGCGCCGCGTCCACACACTTCGAAAAGGTGCGGGGAGCCAGAGCCAGTCCGAACGGGAGTACTGAGTACTGATAAGCTGTGCCCTCGAACCTCAGAAAGCGCCTGTGACGCGCTGCTATCTGGATATGAAAGTACGCGTCCTTTAAATCCACTGAAGCGAACCAATCCCCGGGACGAACTTGCGCCAGAATCTGCTTCAAAGTTGTCATTTTGAACGCGCGCTTGTGAAGTGCTCGGTTTATGGGTCTCAGGTCCAGGATCGGACGGAGACCCCCCCCTCTCTTGGGTACCACAAAGTAGCGGCTGTAGAAACCGCTCTCCCTCTCGATCGGGGGAACCGGTTCTATCGCTCCTTTCTCGAGCAGACTGAGAACTTCCTGTCTCAGAACGGGAACGTTTTGGGGCAAAGTTAATGACGGGATCACGCCGTTGAAACGGGGTGGTCTGCGTCTGAACTGAAGCGAATACCCGTGACGAATTAAGGGAGCATTAAGCAGGGTTTTCCGGTCGGAATCCTTGACATCGGAGAGTGTCAGCCACAGGTGCCTGTGGAGGACGACCAGAAACCCCATGGAGCGACCGATGGCTTGCGCTGAGCGTTTAGTGGCCATCAGTGCAAGGTCCGTAGCTGAGCGGAGATCCCGGATGACGTCAGCGTCAACAGAGGCAACGCCATCCAGGGACTTAAGCAACTTCGCCTGGAACACCTGTAGAATGGCCATGGCGTGGAGAGCTGATACTGCCTCTCCCGCCGCTCCGTACGCCTTATCCGCTTGGTGGGCCGTGAACCTGCAGGGCTTGGACGGCAGGCTGCGGTCCGCGCCCAGTGCAGACGTCGATGGGCACAGGTGAGTGGCGACGGTCTCCTCGACGGGGGGCATGCGCACGTAACCGTGGGCTACCGCCTCGTCTACATGTGCGAACAAGGACTGAGTGGCAGAGTGGGTGCGCGCCGACTGGGGCGCAGCCCACGCCTTAACCACGTGTTCGTGGACGTCCGGGAAAAACGGGGTTCCCCTCTTCGACGCGGCCTGGCGGCGGCTCGACTGAAGGAACCACGTGTCCAACTTGCTCTTAGCTGGCTCATCCGGTGCGTCCCACGAAAGGTCCAACTCGGCGACGGCCTTAGTAAGGACCCTTAAGAGCTCCTCCTGGAGGTCAGGGCTCCCTTGCTCGGGAGGTGCGGCCTGCTGGGATCCCCAGTCCTTCTCCGACGCTGAGAGTGACATGGCGTCCTCTTCCTCGCTAGCTCCAAAGGAGATGAAATCCGCGACGTCGCGGGGTGGGCGGAAGCTAGCGTCCGAGAAGCTGACGGCGTCGAGCTCCCTTTCCCTGGGGGTGGGTGGGCCCACCAGCGGCTCGCTGGCGGCAGTGGGCCCAATCCCTGCAGCTGCTCGAGCCGTTTCTCTCCTGGCCTTAAGGGCGCGCACTGGCATGTCCGCGCAGTGGGCGCACACGAGGTCGTCCGACAGGGCCGTCTCGGCGTGGGCCAGGCCCATGCAGGCAACGCAGAACAAATGGGTGTCGGGCGCCACGATAGGCCCCGAGCACAAGTTACAGATGGATGCCATCGGATGCCAAAGACAGTGAGGTATCTTCAGATGCACCTTCAACGATGGCGAGATTTGTAGAATATCTTCCAATTCGAAGCACACGTCGATTTGAGCGTGAAGAAAAGGATTCTGATGCAATTGACGTGCGTATGCATTTTATACTGCCAGCAGGCGTGTCAGTATTTGCATATTTTGCGTCAATTGGCCAGCTGTCTCCAGCTGGCGTTAGCCCATAAGATTTCAGCAGAAGTGAAGAAGGGGAGGAGTTCCCATACTACGTCATCGACGTAAATGTCGAAGTGACCGCCTTGAAAGGGAACTTCCCCTCCCTCTTGCAGAGTCTCATCTCTGATTCACTGGCGAGAGGGCGGGGCAACCTGTCACTCACATGAGATCCACCAATAGCAAACCACAACCATCCAATCAACTTAATTAAAATCTAAATGTATTCTTGTTGGAGAAGCCGTCTCGCTCGGATATGCCACAACCGGATAAAACTTCTGCTTCATGACGACTTTAAATGCTTCTTTTCAAGAGTCAGTATACAGTGAAAATGTAAGAACAAATAAATAAAGGGATTATGACTATCAGAAACTTCACAGCAAAATAATAATATTGTTAAATAATAAATATTAAAAATGTAACTTTTCAGATGCAAATATGAATAAATTATGCATTATTTTGAAAATATTTTATTGAAATTCAATTGATTAACTTATTTTTGTCTATTATTATTTTAATCAGTCTTTTAATGGGTATAACAATGCACTGAAAATAAACTTTCTAATGTATCTTCAGAGGGATTTTAATCCTGACTGATACACGGTGTTATAATCATGTGGATAGACAGATGTTAAACAGAAAAGAAAGGACAAGATTAGAATTGTAGCAAAACTCGAACACCACAACACCTGCCTTTATGCACCTCACCAAATGGAAATCAAACAGGAAAACATTTACACATTAGTGAAGGGTTTACTTTATGAAAAAAGAAGGAAAAAAAAACATGGCAATTTTCAGAAAGGTAAAAAGGAGCACTAATGTTCAATGTACATTTATATACAAGATAACATTAACTGGCTACATACAAAGATACAGTGCACCCATTGATCATCATCTTTTTTTTGGACAAAAGTACAACCTGAAAATCATTTGCATCTGTCAGAAATATAGTGGAGGAAAGGGTCTAGAATATATGATATGATGTTTATGACCATAAAATCCAAACAAGGATGTCCTATAAACAACTGAAACTGGAAAGATGAAAGTTTTGGATGGCACAGGCGAGGAACCCTTTAAGACTTGGCAATGCCAGCAGAACAGTTACAAAATATATTGTGGGCATATGCATTATTTGTAAGACCAAAGAAGTTATATCCAATGAAAGATTTGAATGCAATAATGTGATTCAGGAGTAGTTTAGCAGAGCTTATTAAATCGCTTGAAGTCATGCATCTAAAACAAACGCACACATATTTACATGAAAAGCCCTGAGAGGTGGTTATTAAGGCATAAGGTGTAGAAGCGGTTTGCCCTATTCAACACTTTTATTAAACCGCTTGCACAAACGCACTGAACCAGCTGTTTAGCAGTGAAATATAAATACATCATGTGCTGTGAAATGAATGGATCAGATCAGAAACCTTCAGCTGTAACACGTTAAAGAATCAAATGGCTTCATGACAGTGTGACGGTCGGTTTAGTGATGGAAATAAAAGTCGCATTCAACAAGCATATACGAGTCTGGCCAAGATATGATTACCATGTTCGTTCATAGTTCTAGCTGTCTGGTATTACAAATAAAACTGAGTAAAAGCAGATTAAAAACTGTTCATGGCAGATTACACACAGCCGATTTTGCATTATTCATCTAGGAAAGCAAGACTTCAGTGAAGGACAGTGAGGAATCGCTGTGAGAAGGCACTATGCAGAATGAAGAATGACGTATTAAACACCTGTGCCACACAAATCACGGCTTAAACCAAACCTAGACCACCCTCAGGTCAGGGGTTTTGCTCATCAACCTCGAGTTTCTGTTACTGCCTTCAAGAAGAAATAGCAATTCACATCGACCACATTATGCCACAAAGAGAACATGTTCACATCATATTTCACCCCAAAATCAAATGATAAAAAAAAGGTACTTTTTTTTTTAAATGGGATTATATATATATATATTCCCATTTTTAGGGCCATAAAGATCATTTATATATATATATATATATATATATATAATTTTGATTCTTGTTACTGTAAAATAATTGTGCGCTAAAAAAATTAATCAAATGTAACAATTTCTTAATAATCTTACAGTAATCATGGATGATTATCTTTATATACTGTGAATTTTTTTTATACAAGCAAAAAATCTCATTGATTCTCATTACTATTAAATTCATTTTATGATACTAAAATGAAAAAGAAATCTGTACATCATAATAATGAACATCATTATTTGTAATGGTTATTTTAGATATTTTCATTACTGCTAAATAATTTCATGCTACTAAAAAGTAAAAAGAAATCTGTCAACGAATACAATTATTTGAATCCAAGCAATTGTACAGTAATGAGAACAAGTTGTGTATGTTTTATCATACACAATTATCTTATATTGTTTATAAAAATGGTTTGCAAACAAAAAACTAATTTTAATTAACATTACTGTAAAATAATCTTACATTACTAAAAAAAACCCTGCACTTTAAGCTTATTTAAACCAAATTATAATTACACTAATGAGTAAATAATTATTCTGATTTTATGCATAATTATAATTGGGGGGGGGAACAAACAAACAAAATGCAAAAACAAACAAACAAAACTTAATAGGACCTAAATTATGCTTCATTTTCATTAAGAAATATTCATTTTATTTTGGGATGTAATAAAATAGACTGGACATGTTCTTCATAAAGCGTTTCAGCGACTTGGTGTTTGCCACAAAAAAAAAAAACCTAGAGAAAACAATTCCCACAATCATTCAGGAGGTTCTTCATTTACCTGTAAACTGAGATGAAGAAGCATGTTCAAACAAGCTTTAAGACTGAATATTATTTAGCGGATGTTTTTTTTTTTCATTAGTAAAGATTTCAATCTAATCTTATCCGAGATATATTGGCTGTAAGCACTTTTGGGATACAGGATCTCTGTACCGCTTCATGCTTGTCCGGTCCGGGATGGAGTACGGCCTCCCGGCTGAAAGCGTGTGTTCTTGGAACGGGGAAGGGGAACCCGATTCTGCTCAAGGAACAAAAACTGCTGCAAGCAAATAAATATAATGAAGCTACAGTACAGGCTACTTACTGTATACAAGTCATGATCAGACGGCTAATGACATGGGCAGGGAAGTTCCTTCCGCATCCGGAGGTTATTAACAGTTAGAAAAAAAAGGGCGTTCTGACGACAGTGAATGGTTATATGAAAATCCAGTTTTAAAAGACAAACAAATAGCATGATTACACATTTAAAAGTGGAAAACGTTGCCAAACAAAAACAAAACTACCTTAAAATTGTATCGATTGTTCTAAAACAAATCCCCTTCCAGGAAAGCAAACAGTGCAAGTCCTCTTGCAGGGGCTACACTCGAGTACTGTAGTCCTCCTACTGAATATAGTGTGTCCTCCGGCTCGACGGACACACATTACATCTGTTCTGTCAGAGGCCAATGGGAAGTTCTGCTTGGTCTCTCTTTATTAGAAGCCCCGTGAGTCCATTTGAGGGGCGGGCAGAAGTGCCCTCAGTGGACCGCCACTCTGGGTTGGGCAGCGCACCGGGCCGTGGGACCCAAGCGGGCGGGATGAAGGGCTCTCAGTCATGGCTTTGCCAGGCCCGGGTCTAGCAGTTGATGGGGCAGTCCGTCTTGGCTTTGCCAGCAAAACTGATGATTCTCCTGAGGCAGCGCCCGAACTCCTCCAGGATGAGGCGCTCGGCCACGGCCTGAGGCTGGTTGGCCAGCTCCGCCTGCTCCGCTTGCTCCAGCAAACAGTCACACGTCGCCTCCGCCACTTCCTTTGTTACGAATGTGTACGGCAACCTAGAGAAAAATTCATTAACATTCGAGTTATTACAGGAAGACCATTTTCTAACACTAAAAAAGGGTGTTTTGTTAAAGTGTTCCATGAAGTTTCTAGACAGCTGCTACATTGCCATGGCATTTCTGTTTTAAAAACAGTAAATACACATTTATAACAATATACTTTGTGTTATATTACCTTGGCCGTAAATTTGACGAATGAATGCTGCTGCGTGAGGGTTTCTAATACAACAGCTGAGTGAGATAAATCTTTCTAGATGTTAGCCGAGTGATTGTTAAAGGGATAGTTCACCCAAAACGGAAAATTCTGTCATTAATTACTCACCCGTAAGACATTCGTTCATCTTCTGAACACAAATGAAGATTTTTTTTAAGAAATCAGAGCTATGACACTTTAAAAGTTCATATAGAGATCATAAAACTTTATGAATTGAGCGGTTTAGTCCAAGTTTCTGAAAAGACTGGATTGATTTATATGATGAACAGATTGAATTTAGGCTTTTATTCACACATTGATCAGTGAACAAACGAAAGTTCAACCGAAGCTTGTTGATGCGCGAGAACAAACCTCATTGGTTCTTAACGAAGCTCAAACACAAGCTTAATTCTCATAACACGAGAATTAACTTATTGGTTCTCGCACGTCAAGTGAACATGCTTGAGGTTCTGTTTACCAGAACTGGGGCCGTATTCACAAAGAATTTTATCTTACCACTAGGAGTACTCCTAAATCGCACTAAAATATTTTAGCTAGGAGTTTTCTCTTAAAAGTTATTCACAGCGCCTTTCAGACCTACTCTTGGTAAGGAAAAATGACAACTCCTAAACTAAGAGTGAGTCTTCGTTGCTATGGATGACGTCAGTTCTCATGCACGAGCCTCCTCGCAATGATCACGGTGATTGGTTGTTAGATGACAGGGCCATCATGCGGAACATAACACAGACGCAACAAATCATGGAATTACGACATCTAAATATGTCTGTGTCCTACACAAAATAATAATAGTAATGTCATCGAAATGCATATATAATGACATGTTTGTGCAGGCCCCAGTGAAGTGTAATTCTAAAAAGGCACAGAGAGAGAAAAGTCGTGAATTAAATTAAATTAAATCAAGGTAGCCTAATACCCTAATGAAAACCTCCACTTGCCTAATAATGAAAAAAAACAACTTGCATTAACACTTGCTTGGTTAATTGACATCCTATTAGCCTAAATAGACTACTTAAAGCAAGGAAATGTTGCTCTTATTGAAGTAATGTAATAGTTGAATGACAGTGGATTATGAAGTCGCCAAAACGGAAAAGAAAGCTCAGCTGGACGCAGGATCAGTTACTGCTGCTGGCCGAGTTGGTGCTAAAAAAAAAAAAAAAAAAAAAAAAAAAAAAAACATAATAAAAGTGAAATTCGGCACTGGGATATCAAGCAAAACTAAGCGTGAGAATGGGAGAGGATTTGTTTGCAGATCAATGCAGCATTCCCGCTTGTGTCGCGGACCCGGGACGACTGCGAGAGGCGGTGGTGTGCGCTACAATCCTTTGTGAATAGGTCTTAGTGAGTTAGGAGTCCTCTCGACTTCTGTTAAGCTGTCCCAGACTTAGGTGCTATATTTAGGGCTAAAATGCTTCGTGAATTACTCTTAGTGAAAAAAATTAGGAGTCCTAAAGTTAGGAGTGACACGCCCATTATTTTTAGGAGTTGGTCCTAAATTTGCAAGTTAGGAGCTACTTTTAGCCTTAAAATTCTTTGTGAATACGGCCCCTGATGTGTGAGTTGATCAATGTTTATGTGAATAAAAGCCTAAATTCAACCTGTTTGAACCATTATATAAAGTGATTGTGTCTTTTCAGAAAATCCTCAATTCATATGGATTAGTTTTATGATCTCTACATGAACTTTTTGAAGCATCAAAGTGGTAGTTGCATAGCTGTCAATGGAGGGACAGAAAGCTCTCAGATTTCATCAAAAATATCTTAATTTGTGTTCAGAAAATGACAGAAGTCTTGACACAACATGAGGGGGGAGTAATTAATGACATTTTTGGGTGAACTATCCCTTTAAGAAGCTCTGGATGGTTGTTGCTAAGGCACTGCTAGGGAGTTACTAGATGTTTTTTTAAAGTGTTCTGTATTGTTACTAAGGTGTTCTAGTGGTTCATTGGCCATTGCTAGGTGGCTGTGGGATTTATGGATGGCTGGACAGATTTAATGACAACCCAAAAGGTATTGTGGTAATAAAGAGCTGACAAATTAAAGGCACAGTATGCAAGTTTAACCACCAGAGGTCACTTATTCAAAACAGTAGCTTGATGTCGCGAATAAGAGTGGAATCATGGGAGTTGTCGTCTTCACCTCCACAGCCGATGGAGAGCAATCCGACGAGACTCAAGGCTGAAATCATGTTCATGGATGAGCTAATGTATTAAAGTTTTATTAGCGTTACTGTGGTATGAAGCAGGGCGGGGCCGAGAGCCGTGGGAGCGGAACGAGGCCGGTGGAGCGAATGCTAATGAGAGACAGATACCTGCGCGACACACCAGTCTCGAGTCCCATGGCCTCCGGAGCTTTTATTTTGCTTAAATGCCACAGTCGGCTGCTGCCGCTCCTTTCGTTTTGTTGTTTATGTTTATTTTACGATTAAAGTTACGTTTAACGTCAGCCTCCTTCCCTGAACTTTGTTAATTATGTTTAATCAGTTAAATTCATTCCAATGAAACAGAGTGCTGAATTATTACGCATACAGGTTTTTTTTCTGACAAATTAAAATTGTTGGGTAATGCGGCACTGTTTTACTTGGTCAAAACAATCATAATAAAAATAATGTTTGTTTGAGTGTGTTAAGTTATTTTAACTATCTGTGCGTTCGCTTGGTGACTGCTATTAGACAGTTGTTGCACACTGCAGTAAGCTAGATCGATATTAGAATATCATATAATAAAAGCTGGATGACTTGTGTTGCTAAATGGCATGCAATTCATTTTAAAACATTGTACGGTGGAGAAAATGCTGTATTACGGTTTCTACAGATAAAGCTCTCTGATTTTATGAGTCTACACTTGACAAAAATGGTGTTGACTCCGAGGCACAAACAAGTTTCTCGCTGTAAATCAAGAAAACGAGATTCAAACAATAAGACTAACTTGATAAGGTTTCCAAAGAGTTGCTCAGCTGTCTAATAAAACACATCATATACCGTAAAACTTCAAATAATAGCACGGGCTTTTATTTTCCCAAATCGTCGAACTGCACTGGCTTGTATTTGAGACAGGCGTCTATATGAGGCCTTTATAATTTAGTGTTGAGATGTTGTTCATTGAGTGTAGGCCTAGAGTCTCTAACCTCTAAAAATCTCCAAATGCTCCACGTGAAACTACGGTCTTCCGACCTTTTACTATCGCGTCAATTGATTTTGTTTAATATGCGCGAGGGAGAGAGAGAGCAAGACAGCGCTCGTGTTGTTTGAAGACGTGAGAGTGCGCGCCCGTGGCGCTCTCTCTCTCTCTCTGCTCGTTATGCGGCGTTCAAGCGCAGCAGTCATTCTACATCACACACCGATCAAAAAAGGCTTTGGCGGGACAAAAATTAGCTTTGGCGGCCGCCAAAAAGTGGACGATCTGACGGGTTTTAGAAGATTAAATACAACCCGAAACTAAAAAACAGACCCGGCCTCTATTTGAGACCGGCCTTTATTTACCCAAATCTGCAGCCACACCAGAAGTGTAAAAGTGACAGGCGTCTATATGGGACTCGGCTATTATTTGAAGTTTAACGGTAATAAAGCGTCTTTGGTGTTTGTTTATAGTATCTACTTGAAGTAAAGCTGGAATTCGAGGATATGACATCATTGACAGGCCACGCAATGACACTGGTCATTACGAAGGGTTAAAATTACTGATTTCTCTGGATTTAAAAATTGTTGGAAACGTATGGGATAATGTAAGAACACAAGTCAACAAAACAAAAAATTTTCTAGTGGTTTTTCGATATTTTAATCCAAAAATCGTACATATTGTGCCTTTAAAGGAAAGACTTACTTCCCGCCTCCACTGGTGAGGGCTGGTGTGGTTCTGGTGAGCAGATCTGAGATCTGTGAGGACAGTTTGGTTTTGGCTGCGGTTTGCTGCTGGACCCGCACCTCTGCAGCGTCGGCCAGGTGCATCAGCGTCTTCCTCTCAGGACTCTCCTCAAAGTTCTTGCAGCCCATACATTTGCAGATGGACGAACACATGATCTTTGCCTAATGCGAACAAACATCAGAATAATATCATCACAACTGAAAACGAACCATTCTTCTATATGCCACAAGAGCTTGGGCACCACTACCCTTTGACCTGTGAAAACACTCACCTCATAACACTCGCAGTAGTTTTTCAGACAGCCAGATTTCTTACAATTGCAGCCTTTGCTGTGTCTCCTGTCCGACTCTCCTTGTTTGCCTTTACCGATCTTGGGTTTGAAAGCCACAGGGTTTCTGTCTAAACACGACTGGGAAAAAACACATTACTTCTTACTTCATTTGATACCTATGCACTTCAAAGCATTACAGCAAAGCTGTCCTGATCAGTGAGACAAACAACATGTCAAGGGCAATGATATGCTATTGTTAAGGGGTTTTGGGAGGTTAACTGGCAAATAGCAAGTCTGGTAAGTCTCTGATATTCTTAACTATGAGTCTAAACTAAAATAAATAAATAAATAGAATATCATAATAAAGGCACATTTGAAGTGTATGTAGGCAGATGGAAAATAATGACAAGTGAAAAAAAGCCAATGTAGATCTATAGGAATGCAGGATTCATTACCTTGATGGCCTTCAGTCTTTCACTCTCATGATCAAGGTTGTTGAAGCAGTTCACACAGTTACAGTTATTGCAGAACTCCCCATTGGCAAAGCAATCACAATACCTGTGAGACGAGAGACATTGAACTCTTATAGAGTAAATGCAAAATACAATTCATAAAAAAAAATAAACAATAAAACAACTTCAGCTGCCCAAGAGATACGCTACAGTTCAAAAGTTTGGGAACGGTAAAGCCTCTTTTCACCAAGCCTGCATTGATTTGATCAAAATACAGTACAAACAGAAATATTGTGAACAGGGATGCACCTACAGCAATTATTTTGGCCAATACCGATTTTAACAAACAACTATTGGCCGATACTGATATTTGTTACTTGCTCACTTATTTGAACGTTGTCATTAAAATTACTGTTTTAATTGTCATTACAGATTACTGTTTTGATTTATGTTTTAAATCAGCAAAGTTAAAAAACACATGCATTAAGGTATCCTAGTAGCTAGTTTATTGCTCATCAAATCACTTTCTTTAAACATGGATTGGATCCATTAAACAGGCCAACATTATAAGAGAGGCACAAATTAATACAAAGACGTCAACCTTCTGAGGTTATTTTTGCTATCAAATATTTCTTAACATTAACATATTTGACTTTATTATAGAACATTACATATTTCTTTAATAAATAGAAAGATATTGAACAACTCAGTGCCTTTACGCAGTTACATACTATTCTATCGGTTTGTTAAATCGGCCGATACATCAGTGCATCTCTAATTGTGAAATATGATTAATTTAAAATGGATGTTTTCTGTGTGTATATATTGTAAAAAAGTAATTTATTCCAGTGATCAAAGCTGAATTTGTCAGCATCATTACTCCAGTCTTCAGTGTCACATAACCCTTCAGGAATCATTCTAATATGATGATTTAATGATCAAGAAAAATTCTGATTATTATCAATGTTGTGCAGCTTCATATTTGTGGAAACCATGATGCATTTTTTCAAGATTCATCAATTAAAAATAACTAATTTAAAATAGAAATATTTTGTATTATTATAAATGTCTTTACTGCCACTTCAGATCAATTAAATGTATCATTGCTTAACAAAAATATTAATTTATTTAATAAAAAAAAAATATATATATTACTGACCCCAAACTTTTGAATGGTAGTACATGAAATGCTACAGGCAAAGCTTGAAAAAAATATTCATGTCAATATTGAAACTGCTTGACAGGTAGCAATAAAATGTAAAATTATATTTGCACCTCTGATAATCCCCTTCCTGTCTGTCAGAATTAACAGTCCTTGCTGGTGAATTTGACAGTATGAGAACTGAATTACAGGTTGTTAAAAGGAAGGAAGCTGTTGTAAAAATCACACAATTGGATTTGGAAACTATGAAAGCGCTTGCCAAACGTAGCAGCTCACACAGATTACACCTTACATGGGCCGTTTTCAGAGAAAGTAAACAAATGCTGGGGAACATACAATTTCAGACACTGTGACCGTGTGCAGTTGCAGGGTTTCCTCGGCCTTGAGGTTGCTTCTGACGTTGATAAACTGTAATAAAGCAGAATGTAACCTGAGATTTAATGAAATCTTTTGCTTGATGCAACTGATATACATGTAGCATTGAAGCATGTGGCGCTCGGCTCACCCGTTGAGTGAAAGCCTGGCTTGAGTCTGTATGGGAGTGGCTGTTGAGAAGGTGGAGCTGCTGGTCAAAGTCACAAACGCAGGCTGGGGGATCTATGGGAACAAGCAAGGTGAGAGAGTCCAACAAAAACAAGCAACCTAACTCATCCGTCCGGCTCCAGCACTGACATACGGACCTGCGTAACGTATGGGGCCGGCAACACAGCGTAGCCCATGTTTCCAGAGCCGTGGGCGGGCGTGAGCACAGTGCCCGGCGGCAGGTTGGTGAGGTTGGGCTGGATCTGTGGCAGATGAGTGGCTGGCATGATGAGACGCTGGGGGGTCTGACTGGTGGTCACCACCTGAGCTGCTGACGTCAAGGGTTTGGGTACAACCTGTGCACAAACAATAAAAATGTATATATATATATATATATATATATGTTCCAGATTATGAACACCATACAGCAACCAGACCAAAAGCTGCACGGCCATCCGTAAGAATGGTGTCATTGTGTGCAGAACTGCTGTGAGAGGGAACTAGGCGCTTCACTGTGTACCTGTTTGACGGTCTGTGCCGAGACGATGGGTACAGACATCCGTACCGCAGCGTTCATCATCACAGACTTGGCTTTGCAAACAAGACAAAAGTAACTAAATGTTATTCAATTTTCTTAAATTCCCATATTCATATACAATCATAGCATTCAAATCATTCTTAAAAATGGATCGCTGCAGTGCTGTGCACCCACTATAAAAACAACACTGCATGGCAAGAGAGCAGCATATTGGAGAAGGACCACTGCCTAAAACAATATTTAACTGAATATTATGAAAGACAGTCACAGGGGTACAGTTGGGAACAATTTTTTTAAAAATATATATATATATTTTTTTTTAATAATTAATAATAATAACTTATATTTATATAGCGCCTTTCACAATACCCAAGGACGCTTTACACATAACAGCAGAGAAAGGCTATTATGCCCCTTTTTACAAGATGTAATATAATTCTGAAGTTTCAGCTCATTTATTATACCATGTTGTAAATATCCATTTTTTTAATTTTGCATTATAGGTCCCCTTTAACATACAGTTAAGGCCAATAATTGCATTTATGCCACTTCTATCTAAAAAAAAAAAAGAGAAAAAAAGGTGAAAGATTTATAATTGTTTATAAAAAATTGAAATGTATCAGTTTTATAAATGAATATTTATAATTATTATAAATAATTGAATCAATATTTTAAACATGTAAAATATAACAATTAATTTACAACAAATTTCTAGTTAAATTGCAAATCAAATATGGTGTGGCACAATAAAACTTGTATACTGCATAAATTAAAATTGATGAAAAAACATCTTGGCTGTATGCTATTCTATGATATAACAAATAAGCTTGATACATTGATATTCTACGCTTTTATTAAAAGCTGGTGAAGTGACTATCAGAACAGCTCATGAAATTAAGTTCACGTCCTCATACAGCACCGCCCAATCACACTGAGACACGCAGACTTGCATGCAGATTTTAAGTGACGTGCACCTGATTTAGGTTAATATCAAAAATGAGTAGGAACTATACATCGATTTATTATTACCCAGCCCTATTTGGCAATGGAATTGCATTTTTTCCAATTACTTATTCCATAAAAGTAGTGAATAATTCTTATATGAAAACAGAATCATAAAGCGAAACCGGATTTGTTAAATTGGTTCGTTCCCCATCGCTGCACACATGATGTCCTGACCTGGTTGGATGGAGGGGTTGGTGTTGATGCTGGCGCCCGTCTGTGCCGTGCCGCTGCCGGTGGTGGCCGTTACCAGCCGCACGTAATGGAAGCGACTGCCCGGCACCTGGATCTGCTGCACGTTGGGAGGTGTGGTGAGGGGGATGATGGTCTTAAACTGGGATGTTCCCATCCCTCCCACTGTAACTGTCTGCATTGGCTTTGCAGCCTGTACACGAAAACAGATAAAAACATAGTTTTGTATTGTTGTACACTAAATGTCACAGAGGCTTTGTTAAAATCTATATTTGACAGGACAGCAAACTGGTTTGGGTTTTTTGAGGACTCTAGATGGGCGTACCTGTGCGGTGGACTGGCTGGTTCCTGCTTTAGCTGGACTAGTGGTGGCTGACTGTTGAACCGTGAGGATTTGCTGGCCTAGAGCCACATTGAGCGGCAGGGTCACAGACTTCTGGGGTGAGTTTGGAGACTGACTGGCCACCGAAACCACAGTCAACTACAGACAGAGGAGAAACACGAGGACGAGGGTGACATCAGAAACCAGAGTGTGGTCATCATAGAGAAAAAGCTGGCACCACAAAGACGGGTAAATGTAACTGCGATGCAAGTTTTTACATTTGAAAGATTCAAGACCTTGCTGGGAGACTTGAGAGGCGAGATGGCGACTTTGCTGTTACCAGACGTATTCTGTGTCACAGTGCTGATGGCCTCGCCAATGGAGATGGTGCGTGGAGGTGTCACAGGGGTACTCTGGGTAAGAACTCGCCCTGTTGGCAAAAGAAGGGGATTGAAATGTAGATTTGACAATCGTGCTGATACAACAACTACACTTTTGCTCATGTTATAAACACAGAGAGAAGATTACCAGTCACTACAGGAGACACTGAAGCTGGGCTGGTCAGGGCTTTACTGTTCAGGGCCTTTGTGATGATGAGCTTTGTTATCATTGGTCCAGCCGTAGATACTGGTGGTTTCTTTGTGATCTGTGAGGAGAAACACGACACTTGGTGATTATTTTAGTAGCTTTTGATAGACCGTGACACTGAACAGGAAACAAGACTTCCAAACTATTTTTTTCTTTCCTTTCCTGGAAGTCAATGGCTTCAGTCAACTGTCTGGTTACCAACTTTCTTCCAAATATATGCTTTTGTGTTCAACAGAACAAAGACTCATACAGGTTTGGAACCACTTCAGGGCGAGTAAATGATGACAGAATTGTTATTTTTTGGTCAACTATCCCTTACAATATTGTAACAGTTAATCAAACTTTACTTAATACTTATTATTAAGGATATTTAATATGTATTTAACTGAGTATTCATTTGTTTTTTAATAAATAATAGCAACAACACTGATTTAAATACAGCATTAAAATTGCATTTTTCTTGTACTATAAATTACTACAGTACTATATACTATACTTACTACTTGTACTATTATACTATAATTACTTACTATAAATACTATATTAAAAATAGCTCATTTAAAAAATACAGTAAAATAAAAAAGCATGTCCTTACAGAAAAAAAGTTTTTTTTTTTTTATATGACTAATATAAATAATATTATATATAATCATTAACAATAAAAATAATAATTAATGATCAAAATTGATATTAAAAAAGGCATTTTCCTTATAGAATTTAACAAATATGACTATTATTTGTAAAAAATTATACATGAAATTAATCATTTTAGTAGCTCATTCAACTCGTATGTTTTAAAAATAAATGACACAAACATTACATATTATCGTAAATCTATTATTAAATAATAATAATAGCACAAATTAAATAGTTTTTGCCTTTAAATAATTATACTATAATAACAATAATAGCTCATGTAAAAATAGAGTAATAAAAATATGACTACTATACATAAATATTATATTATAAATAATAATCAATTTAAAATATAAAGTAATAAAAATGGCATTCATAAGAAAAATATGTTTTACAAATTTGAAGATTTTTCTATTTTTTCAATGCTTGAAAGTGTAAAATAAAGTGTTAACAGAATGTTATACAGTGTCCATATAGTTACTGTAGTAGCTATAAATTATGCATAATCACATGCAACTGACCCTAAAAACCCACCCTAATTAAGTAGTTAATTATTAGTCAGTAAATGTATAATTACACTAACACGGACCTTAAAATAAAGTGTAACCAACATTTTCACTAACAACCAGTCAGCAGCAGCAGCTACAGTTTATATATTAGTTAACACCTCGTTGTTACATGCAATATATACGTATAAATCCCACAAAAAAAGAAAGAAACTGATGCCAAAATAAAGAAGTTCTCTTCAGGGTCTCAATATAAAATGGTAATTTCACACCCACCCAACACAGCGTGGCCTGCCACTTCAGTAATGTAGCGTCTGCCTCCTCAGAGCAACACGGAGAGGTTGATAAACACCCACCTGAAGGGTCTTCAGCTGCTGGGCCTGCAGTGTAGTGGAGGAGCCCATCAGCTGACTGGCTGAGCTCACAGCGATCACAGGCTTCCCTACGGCCGTCACCATCTTGATCTGCGTCGGCTGGGCCTTGCCATCCCCTGTGCCCTGGGTAGTGGCGGGCTTGCTCCAAGTGTGGGGCAGAGCCAACATAATGGGCTGCCCTGTTTTACTGAGACCAGTAACCAGGAGCTTCTGGCCCTCTGGCTTGAGCACAGCAGCGCCTGGAGGCTTGCCATCCGCAGTGGGGGAGCTGGCCACTTTATTGATGATGAGCTGGTGGTTAGCTGGGACAGTAACGCTGGAGATTTTGGGGAGGCTTTGAGTCAGTGCAGGACTGGTGGTTTTGGCAGGGGTTGTGGTGGCGACAGCCATGAGGCCGGAGGAGGCGAGGAGGAGTTGAGTTCCCGTGCTGGTGCTACACTGAGCATTAGTGGAGGTGGAGGTCATCTGCATGGACGTGGTGGCTGGACACAGGCTGACGATTTCAGGCACCTCTGTTTCCATAGGAACCTGCGCTGGCTCCGGTTCAGATTGAGGAGGAGGAGCGAGGTGCTCGGCAGGAAGGTCCTCTTCCATTGCGATAGCTTCCGTGTCCATAATCTCATCAGGCAGGAGGCTGTTGAGCTCAGGTGACACCACATCCATTGTGCACAAAGATACTCAAAACACACTAGGAAAGAAAGAAAAAAGCACAATTCTTACATGTATAAAAAGACCAGAAACATCCACAAGAAAGAGATGAGAATAAATCACTGATAAAGTATACAGGAAGCAAAGGGCTCCAGACTGCGACCAAATGGACACATTTTGAGACCTTTTTACCACCTTTTTTCCTGCAGGTACGACTACATTTTGTTGGAGATAGCATGCATGTGTGTGTATTTATATATAAAATATTTATACCGGTAATACAAATTACATATATATATATACAGTATATACAGATGCAAATATATCTTAAATATATACATGCATGAGTGTGTATTTATATATACATAATATATTTATACACAGTACACACACGTATAATGTAAGCACAAACTTTTAATTTGGATGTGGTTAATCGTTTCACAGCCCTACGGGTTCATCAGCACGTTGCCAAACTGATAAGAGCTGCCATTTCTGTTGCATATGAAAAACATCAATCGAAACGGAAGTGGAACGAAACGGGCCATCTCATTTGAGCTGTGCAGCGCAGGCCGATTATCAGCTCAGAGAAACAGTGCAGCAGAAACTCAGAACAGGTTTACTCCGTGTCCAATCTCAATTACGCCACACCGTCACTACACAGCGCTGGGAATTCTGGGAGAAAGCGTTTGAATTCACCGCAGTATTAATAACATCGCGGCGAGATCTGGTGGGAAGCGTTCAAAATCAGAGCAGAATTCTGCTATAAACCATATCAGTCAAACAGCGCTGACGTGGAAACCTGAGAAACACTGTTATAGAAGGCTTTTCAGTCCACAAATCACCAGCAGTCACCATGGATTAATGTAGTAACGCTAACCGTAACCATGGTATTGTGACAGAAATAGTAAAACTTTTTTTTTTTTACATTATTCATCCTAGAGAGTAGGGGTGTAACAATATATCGTGCCACAATATATCGCAATAAAAAAAATGCAACAATACGTATCGTGGATAGTGACAATATGTATCGTGGATAGTTCCCCCAAAATAAAAATTACTGTGTGAGAAAAAAATTAAATTTTTTCAGAGTTTTAGTGTCAGTACTACATTAAACTACTATACATAATGTTGATTATAATGTATAATAATGCAATGGGGGAATATTTGTGGGTCCTGATAATGCCAAATGTCTTATGTTACCAGTAAAAAGTGGCCAACATTATTTTAAATATATCTAGTCAGTGACAGAGAAAGCATATTCATCTAAAATAATTCTGTATTTTCAGCTTCAGAATCATGAATATTTTTATTCTGGTGTCACCATTCTCCTTGGGTTACAAGCACCAAGTCCAAACCTATTCATTTAAACCCACAATGTAATATCAAAGTTAGCATTTTAATCAACAGTACATTTTTTGTTAACCTTTTATCATATGTCTTGGAGTATCGCAATAATATCGTATCGTGAGTTCAGTATCGTGATATGTATCGAATCATGACATGAGGGTATCGTTACACCCCTACTAGAGAGACAACCAAGGTACAACCTTTTGAGAGTGAGAATCAACCACTTTTCAAGGACTTTCAAGTGCTTCAGTAACGGTGTTGCGTCATAAGTCCAGTTTCACAGTTTTCAACAGCTATGTTTCCATTCGTCTATTGTTACGCGCATAGTGGGATATCGCATAAATAAAATGCTTGATGTAAATGCCAAAATGTAGAGAAATTCTAAAAATGTCCTTAAAAAGAAATGCGCTCAATTGAGTCGGATAAATTTATCCGATAAGAAAACGTCGCATAAACCATAGACATCCATAATAAAGGCTAGATGTCTTACGGCGGAGTCTCTATCGTCATCACCGGCGGCCATCTTGTCACAGGCTAGCTTTCTGGCGGGCTCTGTGGTACTGATGATGTATGGTGAGAACACAAATACTCTTATCTTGCTGAAATCTTGACGGATTTTCAAACGGTTTGGTTTCTTACAAACGTTATTAACGTGGCTAGATAATTTTGGTTGGTTATTTATTTATACACTTATTTTTCATAAGTGTGCAGTGTCATAACTACATCTTTGACGTTTATAACAAACCAAACCGTTTACAAAATCGGTAGAAAATTGAGCAAGTTATGGTTATTTAAAAAGTACATGCACCATTAACACAATGTTACGAGTGAGCGAGCTGCCTGTGACAAGATGGCCGCCAGGTGCGGACGTCGACCTCCATTGGCCAGCAGCGCGGACGAGAGATCTAGCCTTTATTATGGATATCTATGGCATAAACTACGATGGAAAAACATTTACCGAATTAATTAGTCGACGAGCTTCAAAAAAAGTCACGTGGCGACGACGACGGACCAACCAGCGACCGATCTCGTTGCACAGCATCTGAAATGCTGTTTTGGTCATTCTGAAATGCCTGAGCAAAGTCTGTCCTCAAAGTGGTTAGGTGTAATTAATTACCTGCCAGAAATGTGTTACACGACTATGTTCCGCCTCCGAAAGCAAGATAACTTTGTTTCATCGGAGCGCTCTGTGTTATATACAGTGGCTTCTCCTACTGCAGCAACTTCCATTTTTCAAGTGATATTTAGCACCAGTTTATCAGTTAGTGACGATTCTGTTCTCTTCGACTCACTGTAAACGCTGCTTTATTCGCAAATGTTTTAAGCAATATTCCAATTCAGATCCGCGTTCAGAGAGAGCAGTCGTCATGTATAGGTATGAAACCGCTTTTCAACCACACAGTATCGTTATTTCTGTGGTACAGTAATTCAAATGATCACAGAAGTACTGGGAAAAAAGTTTATAGTTCAGAATCAGATATGACACTGATGTCTACAGTAGTGATCAAAATAGAGTACATCTTGATGTAAGTGCAAGTAAAACTTGATGCTTCAAATAAAGATTGTATTAATTACATCGTTTCACCAGTAGGTGGCGACAAGTGACTTAAATGTATCCATCATGAATCATTCATTCAAGAGATTTGTTAAAGGGATACTCCACTTTTTTTGGAAATAGTCTCATTTTACAACTCCCCCAGAGTTAAACTGTTGAGTTTACCGTTTTTGAATCCATTCAGCCGATCTCCGGTTCTGGCGGTACCACTTTTAGCATAGCTTAGCATACATCATTGGAGTGGACAAGACAGCAGGCGTAATGATATGACGCAGCGCCTGAAAATACCGTAGTTCCGTTGTGTTGACGGAAGGTGGCCTATTTTCAGGCGCTGCGTCATATCATTACGCCTGCTGCTCTCATGGTACGGCAGTGAAGTTTCTTGATTATTACGCAGGAATGAGAGTATAGTTCCTAGCCATATCAGCCTAGAAAATCACAACTTTACATTTTCCGTCGGTCTTAGTGCACGATGTAACTACAGAAGAGTCAAGTTTTAAATAGGAAAAATATCGAAACTCTTTGGTAATTTTTTTTTAGAAATGCTAATGGTCTTGTCCACTCCAATGATGTATGCTAAGCTATGCTAAAAGTGGTACCGCCAGAACCGGAGATCGGCTGAATGGATTCAAAAACGGTAAAAACTCAACAGTTTAACTCTGGGGGAGTTGTAAAATGAGCCTATTTCCAAAAAAAGTGGAGTATCCCTTTAAAAATCACTGAATTCATCCAGTAATGAAACAAGTGAAGTCTTTATGAGTGAGTCATTGAATCAGTCATTCACAGATTTGTTTAAATAATAAAAATTCATTCAAATTGATTAAATATATTTTTGTAAATAGACTGCAGCCACTAACATTTTGTCAGAAACTCTAGTAAATTACATGTTATTTTGTTTAGTTGTCTATTCAGAATGGTGGGAAAATCATTCGTGATCTCTCAGGTTGTGAGAAGCAAGGAGCGATCAACTCATTATAGTCTACTCTTTCAATTCTGGGGGGAAAAAAAGAATCAGCAGTTGAAATTATTTCAGAGAATTACATTAGAACAGAACTACATGTTTAGGTAGAAATGTGTGTTTAAAAAACAAAACATGTCAATGGTAACATTCACAAAAATTTTATAAAATGATAAACATCACATTTCAACCCTTTTAACCATTGTTTAAGAAACGGGATGAGTCAATGTTATCAAATATTCTGGACACATTATCTATAATGTTATGACTTTTATAATGCATATTAACTTCCCTTCTATAAAACTGGATTCACCTTTAAACACGTTTAATAATTATTGATTTTCATACACTAAACTGAGAGGTTGACATCCAAAACACTCCTTTGTCCGGAGGACAAAGGTTTATAAAGGGTTTGTGTCAAAATCAAACAGGTAATTATCTCCAAGCAGAGATTCTGTTGAATGAAGAGTTAGTGCAACACACACACATACACAATTCATAACTGTTGCTCATTGACCTTTCGTCTTGATACTGAAGAAAGCATAGTTTGAAGGAAATATGTTTCATGCTATCATAGATTATGGACGATTTTATATTTAAATGCATCTGAAAAATAACTGAAAGTAAAAAAAAGATGATAAAAAAAAAATCTTCCCGACTAAAGTTCCCCCCAGTGAATTCCAGCCCTGCGTGTATATGTATTAATAAAACATAACCACTTCAGCCTTATAAGCATGTCTAGACAGCATTTATGAAATCTGAAAGTACCGTTCTGAGAACAACAATGACCAACTTTGTTCATTTACATATGGCGAATTTTTACATGGCATTACATTACAATATCCTCACATAAAGACTGCAGCACTTTACAGGTCTCATCGCATCAAGCACACCAGCACAAATAGTTACATAGTCACATATATTCTGCACGGGTCCGCTGGCGGGCCATTCAAAACCCAGTGTTTCCTAAACGCCGCACACGAGACGACGCGACGCGACCGCTCCCATTCCAATCCCTCTACAGTCGCCACTGGGGACGGCGTTCATCGCGTCGCTCGCAGTGTAGACGAGCGGTTTATATGCACAGCTGCTATGTGGCTAACTAGCACCAGAGCTAACCAGCAGTTACATGTTAAACACAGCAGTCACTCACAGCGAACATTAACCAGCAATACAACGGACAATCTGCTAATAACGACAGCAGTTATGCGCTTCAGATACTGTGTACACAATAAAACACTACACTTTAATCGCTAAACGCAACATACAGCCGTTTTAAACACTGGGAAACAACAGCAGGCCTCTTTTACATGCCTGACAATAACAATCCGCGTTTAATCCTTTACCTCAACAGTGACTTCAGAGAGAGACAGTCAGTTCGCGTCAGCTGGAGTTTGTTGATATTCGACGCGCCTGCTTTCCTGTCTATCCGGTTGCCATGGAAATATCGATATTTACAAGACACGGGGAACAGCACGAGAGTTACTGTAGACCGGAGAGTTTTCCTCTCGATTTGAGTCCTGTTAGAGAGAGTTTAACACGCGCTGAGGGTCTATTTCAGGCCGGGCTGGATTTCGAAAGATCCGCCATTTTCATCCCGTCATCAGTTCGGAAACGAGAAACAGGAGAAGAAGAAAACAACAACTTGATTTATTGTTTTGTTATAGTTAAGAGCACAAAGGTGGGCGAAGTATAGACAAGTGACGTTCGCAATTATCGATTTTGACAATTAAAACTATTAATCTGTCATCATTCGATTTGAACTTGTTCCTCACAGGAACAATAAAAGGTGTTTGTCAGAATGACAGTGACTATCATTGCACGTCTTTTATACAGTGAACATGAACGGAGACTGAAGCTGTCATTCACCCGGACAAAGAAACGAAACCATACACACGAGTATAACACCCAAAACGTTTTCATTGCTAAAATTGTGCACTGTTATGATTTTGATTAAAAGGCATTAGTACAAAAAAACTATGTGAAATAAAAATGTAATAGTTCGTCAGACAAACAAAAGCCACTTAACTACTCTCCAAGTCTTAATGGCAAAGAGATTTATATAAAACAGAGAGCTTAGAAAACTGTGAAGTAAATGAAATTTTAATAAACTTTTATAACAATAATATAGGTCACGCTGCCACTATATGGCAGATATGCCACTATATTATTAGCATTAACATATATATATATACACACACACACACATATAGTGCTAATACTACAGTGAACCAGTGACTATATGTTTCCGAATGTATGACAGACAGGCGCATCGGGTTGGCTGTCACTCACTGTCAGGTATAGTAGCCTCAACTGCTACCAGTTAGCCACTATCAACTCCTGCAACGCTTCGACGCGTGCGGTAACCTTTGGCTATATTTTATTGATGACTCAGAAGCCCAGCAGGGATTAACCAGCGATCGTTTGCGACCCCAGCTGTGTGTGTGTTAGTGTGACGCGGACGGGCATCAGCTGACACTGCACTGTTAGCAGCGCGGCTAACTCAACTAGCCGCGATCATATTCTCGCGCCCCTCGCGAACCCCAGCCGAACTCAAAGCGCTTCTTACACTTGCTCGAGGTGATGAGTGTCGCGACGCTCTTCTGAAATCCGCCGCGCGTTCCGCTCGATCACGCGCTGCTACATCCAACGCGCTGCTGCATCTTGTCGATCATCCGCTCTCAGACGAAGACGATTGTTTAAAATACCGCGCCGAGCGCCATTTCACCTCTAACATCCCATAATCAAGCCACGCCTTCAGAGGAAACAACAAATGACGTCACGCCACAACTTCCGCCCGCGCTGCACGCACACAGCTCAATGGACTGGTTTTAGTTTTTAATGTTATTTATTTATTTTTATTTATGTATTGTATGTATCATTTATATTAATTTAAATGTTTTATAAATTAATTTGAGTAGACTATCTCTGTTTATTGTATCTTATTTGAAAATGTACTTTATTGCCTTGCTCTACCTCGAGTTTATCATCCTATTTTTGTGTGATATATGTATCCCCTGTGATCTTTGTTCAATGATAATAAAATAAATAAATAAAAAGTTGAATGGATTGTGGTCAAAATTTGGTATGTATATATGTTTATTTTAATTCTGAATAAAAATCAGGGTTAATGTTCGAGTAAATTATACAAAAAGCCCAGATAACGTGCCATATCAAGATGTGATGTAGCTTATTCATAAAGTAATAAATAGCATAAACAATAAACGTGTGTAACGACAAAGAGTGCAACAGAAATATTGATGTAGCCTTTTGTATCATATTTTAAAACCAATGGCAATGACATATTATCAGATAATGACTAATTTTACCATATTGGAAACATGGTAAAATTGATGGTGGAAACAAATTTCCTGAAAAGGACAATAAAAGGAATCAATCAATCAATTAACATTTATTTGATTTAATTTATTTAAAATAATGATCATATTATTAAATATTATGAAATATTGATGTAGTCATTTGTATCATATTTTAAAAAAATATCAATGACAAATTATAACATTTATTTGATTTTTTACTGATATTATTATATTATATTTGTGTAAATAAAAATATAGTATATGTTGTTGCCATAACATTTAGACTGTTTACATATAGTTATGAATTTACTAAATCTAGCTCTTATTATATCATATTACATTACATTATATTACATTATAGTATATTATATTATATTACGTTGCATTCTATTCTATTCTATTTTATACTATTTTATACTATTATATTATATTATATTATATTATATTATATTATATTATATTATATTATATTGTGTCTGCTGCAGTGTCCCTTCTCTGCAGACTTGCACTTGCAGTTCGTTACTATTCATAGATGTGAAATGGGTTGGACTCTATGGTTTATAGTGTATAATTTCGTAACTGTTGCAGACAGAATATTACAGAACAGAAGTCTCGTTCTCATGAGTGATGATCCCATGTCTGGAAATGAGAATAGTCTGGCACTAAAGAGCAGTCATTTTGAAACTTGTGGAGATTTTTTTGTACTTTATTGCTAGCAGAATTACGAAATGCAATGGTGCCATCACTGTACGATAATACAGTTTTAGATTTAAGATGTTAGAATTAGGTTTAAATAATTCTTCTATTAATGTAAAGTATTAATGAAGGTTAACTTAAAGCATTGCTGAGAAAGTCTGGCTGGTAAAGGTAGAGGTTGAAAGAAAAACTTATTTATATATTTTATTTTATTTATATATCAAAAAGTGAAAAGTAAACAGACCCTGATGCCCTCTGGTGGTCAGTGTGTGATGTGCAGTTTCCCACAGGCCGGGATTGAGTGGCGCCCTCTGGTGGACAGTGTGTGATGTGCCGTTTCCCTCAGGCCGGGATTGAGTGGCGCCCTCTGGTGGTCAGTGTGTGATGTGCAGTTTCCCTCAGGCCGGGATTGAGTGGCGCCCTCTGGTGGTCAGTGTGTGATGTGCAGTTTCCCACAGGCCGGGATTGAGTGGCGCCCTCTGGTGGTCAGTGTGTGATGTGCAGTTTCCCTCAGGCCGGGGTTGAGTGGCGCCCTCTGGTGGTCAGTGTGTGATGTGCAGTTTCCCTCAGGCCGGGATTGAGTGGCGCCCTCTGGTGGTCCGCCGCAAGTGTTGTGGTTTGAGAGACTGACGAGGAAAATGGCGTCCGGCGTGAGGCAGGAGCTCGCGCAGCTGATGAACTCTAGTGGGTCTCACAAAGATCTAGCTGGGAAGTATGTATTCTCAAGTCATTTACCAGTATTGGTTCTTACTATATGTCTATTGCATGAATGTATTATTGTGCAGGTTAATCTCTTATGAACGATGTGATGCTGCAGATGCGATGACTGCAGGCTAGCATTAGCTAGCGTGAGGATATGCAGTACAGATGATACCTGTCAACATCCCTACATTTGGTTGATATCGATCGAAATACGTTATAAGTTGTTAATGGTTAGTCGCTATTAGAATAATTTATAAATAGTCGTATGATAATGTATTTAATGATACATTGTGCAAGTGCTGGCCGCTGGAGTAATGGCAATAAGTTAACTTGAAAAGCACTTTACTAAATTAAAGATCTCATGAAATCAAAATTAGAGGCTTTTAATCAACGTCTTTTAGGTTTGAGGTCATTTATATCCTTGTGTGCACCTAAAGTTTGACAAATTGTTATTTCATCAAACAAACGCTAAATTTTAAGGTATTATTTTCTGGTAATAAGTGACTAAAAATATTGATGACTAATCTTGCATTTGGGGGCGTATCTATATTTATATCCAATCAAATATTCTAGAATGACATGCCCCGCCCCCAACACACCTTCCTCTGACTAGCGAAATAGCAAGTAACAAATCGGCAATCAATTATTTTATTTTGTTATCCAACTTAAAATTTTATAAGTAAAAATATGGTTGTGTTCTTTTGCAAAAATTCAAGTTATTTTCTTAGACTGATGAATGTGTTTCTTCTGACAGATACCGTCAAATATTAGAAAAGGCTCTTCAGTTTACTGATGCAGAACAACTTGAGTCACTAAAAGCATTTGTGGAAGCGAGTAAGTACACTAGTGTTCAAGTACACTAGTCTGATAATATCATTCGAATAGATCCCGCCTAAATCGTTTTGTACGGAATTGCTCTGTTTACATTGTTTAAACCGATGAGTGCCTCTATTTCGCACACTTGCACAGTGGTCAATGAGAACGTCAGCCTGGTCATATCCAGACAGCTGTTGACAGACTTCTGCTCACACCTCCCAAACCTGCAGGAAGGCACGGCGAAGGCTGTGTGTCACTTCACTCTGGAGAAGATTCAGCCCAGAGTCATCTCATTTGAAGAACAGGTATGTGTCCTGAAAGATACTCTCACCTCAGTGCTGTCACCTGTATCGTGTCTGAGTAAATCCCGTGCTCTTGCAGGTGGCCTCCATCAGACAGCATCTAGCCACAATCTATGAGAAAGAGGAGGACTGGAGGAACGCCGCTCAGGTTCTCGTGGGAATCCCGCTGGAGACGGGTCAAAAGTATGCTCACTTTTCTCTTGGAACAAACTCAAGCTCCTTCATTTCATTTGCAAGTCACCCAAAATGCTAATGGTGTGTTTATGTTCTTATTATCTGTTTTTCTGATTCTATAGACAGTACAATGTGGACTACAAGTTGGACACTTACCTGAAAATCGCTCGCCTGTATTTAGAGGACGACGACCCAGTTCAGGCCGAGGCCTACATCAACCGAGCATCTTTACTTCAGAACGAATCCACCAATGAACAGCTGCAGATTCACTACAAGGTGCGCCATCATTCGAACAATATTTTGTCCTTTTATAATATGCTAATTGGACTTTTATTTCCCCCTAAAGCTCACTAATAAACTTAAAGACATATTTTTAAAATACATTTATATTTTTTAAATATAAAAAAAAACATACCTTTTTTTACAGCAAATATGTATGTATATATATATATATATATATATACATTTTTCTGAATATACAAATATCTGAATAATAATTTATAAATTAATGAAAACGTTTTTAGATGTATAAACGTAATATGTATATATTATAAATGTATATAATAAAATGTATATTCAATATAATTTATTTAAATTGTACAACAAATATATATTTATAATAATACAATAAAAATATTTGGAATGTATAAAAAATATATGGTTCATAATTTACAGTACACAAATAATTAATATAAATAATAATTTATGCACTAATGAAAACATTTTTAAATATAATATAAATGTGATGTATATAAACAAAATGTTTATATATTAAATATAATGTATTTATATTGTTTAATTCAACAAATATATATTTATAATGTTGGTAAAAAATTAAATAAATATAAGTACACAATTTTATTTATTAATGGTAATATATACATTAGAACGTTTTAAATGTAATATAAATGTATTGTATATAAATAAAAGTATATATTCAATATTTTGTATTTAATTTTTAATTCAACCAATTTATATATTTATAATAATACAATTGAAATATACTTAAAATATATAAAATGTATATGAAATAGATCCTAATTTACATATTTATGAAAACATTTTAGTAAATTCAAATATAAATTCATTATTATGCCCAAACTTATATAGGTACTTTACTTAATGTCAAGGTAGCATTTATTGTCTCCCTTAGGAGAAATTTGTTTTCAGATTAGGGAACTAAATCTAAACCTGTAATCATGCGACTGTAATCTATTTGGCAACAATGGTTGCTTGATTGATGTAAAAAAAAAAAATCGAGACAATTTTTATTACATTGCCGCAAATACGAAGTTCTGTTAATTACTAACTTGCCAGTGTGTGATTCTGTAATATTTGGCTGCTTTATGATTATTGTGAAACTGTAAAATGTTCCATCATATTTTGCAGGTATGCTATGCCAGAGTTCTGGATTATCGGAGGAAGTTCATTGAGGCAGCTCAGCGCTACAACGAGCTTTCTTATAAATCCATCGTCCATGAGACTGAGCGCCTGGAGGCCCTGAAGCACGCGCTTCATTGCACTATACTGGCCTCTGCAGGTACTGTTAATGTGCTACACCACCAATGCTAAGCTAATGGAGCTGCGACTAGCCATTTTAGCTCGCATTATCTAATCAGTTATTAATGTGTCCATAAGGTCAGCAGCGCTCTCGTATGTTGGCTACTCTCTTCAAGGACGAGCGCTGTCAGCAACTTTCCGCCTACGGCATCCTGGAAAAAATGTACCTGGATCGAATCATTCGGGGAAACCAGCTGCAAGAGTTCGCTGCCATGCTGATGCCACATCAGAAAGCCACCACAGCCGATGGTATCGCTTATGATCGGGAATCTGAATGATTATATTACTTTAGTACTGCAATTCATTGGTGTTCTTTTCTAGGCAAAGGCGATGACTAATACTTGTCTAATGCTTTCAGGTTCAAGCATCCTAGACCGAGCAGTCATTGAGCACAACCTGCTGTCTGCTAGCAAGCTGTACAATAATATCACATTTGAAGAGTTAGGAGCACTTCTGGAGATTCCTCCTGCAAAGGTACAGCTGTGTTGACTGACTTTGCTAGGAAACTTCTAATATAGAAGTATGTTCATCAACATATATATTTCGGTATATACTTGGCCTAAAATTAACACTTGCCAAGCACCAAATGTAAGTCAAAATTGGTGTTGGCGAGTATATGAAGCGGTGTCACTCGCCAGTTGGCCGGTTTTTATGAATTCTTACAATGCATGAATGTAAACAAACGTGAACGACGCTCGGGACGCTTGACGGGCCAGCGCTTTATCGTCAGGAAAGTTTAAGCCTTGACAAGAAGACGCGAAAAGAAGCTCATTTTACACGAAAGCAGCGCCTTAAAGCAACACCAAGGAACTTTTCCTCTGCGGTCGCCCTACAGGTTGGAAGCGGAATTGTCCATTACCGCTGTCGTAAATAATTTAGCCTTCCGCATATACTGTCGCACGCGCACGCTCGCTGTTTATCCAGCACCGGCTTTGGAATCAACAATGGCAGACATCCCAACCTGCAAGAAGTCATTTCAGGGAGGTATATCTTGGTGACTGGATTGTTTTAAGGGGGGGGTTGACTAGCTTTCGTGAGGCACACTCGCAAGGTCTCTCGCTCTCTCCCTCTCTGCCGTCCTCGCGCTATGTATGTTATGCGCGCAGTATGTTCTGTCTCGCATGCGCGCTCTAGATTCCGGCAGATTTGAACTAATTCGCGGGCATCAGGGAGACGCTATAGACTTGGGATGTCTGCAATGGCCATAGACAATTTGAGGAAGTGGTGGGGGAAGTGACGTATGCCGTAAAGCAGTCGAGTTTTGTAGTTCTTTTTGTGCTCGGGTTACTACCCGAAACCCGAAGTTACATAGTGCTAGTAAAAGCGATACAGACCACGTCAGGCTATGGCAGACGTGTCATTTAACCTATTGTAAGGGTGTACTCACACTAGCCAGTTTTAACCGTGCCCGAGTGCGTTTGAACACCAAAGCGCGGTTCGTTTGACTAGTGTGAGTGCTCCGAACCGTGCCCGGGCGCGGCTCGATTAGCCGGCCCTGGCCCGCTTGGAAGAGGTGGGCCAGAGCACGGTTCAGTTGGACTCGGGCGCGGTTCGCATGCAGTGTGAGCGCTAACCGTGCTGGAGCACGGAACAGGACGCGCGTCGTCATGGTTTAGCAGCACGATTACGTGAAACGAGCGATTACGAGCAGCACGATTACGTGAAAATTTTCGCGCCACTAAGGCGACACATCTGTTTATCAACAGGCTTTTGAGAGGGCTGTGGACCACCGTGGACCAAACGACACAAAATTATCCACAAAGAAAACAGAGCGATGGACTCCATTGTGTTCAGAGAGCGCCGCTCTTCTTGTTTATCCTGAAACCGTCGCACCATAATGACGTAAGCGTGCTCCGGCACGAATGCTGAAACCCCATGTGAGTGCAGGCAAGAGGGGGAGTGGGGAGGGGGGACAATCGTACTCGGGCCCGGTTCATGGCATCGAACCAGTCGATGTACCATCACAAGGGTCTTGAAAATATATTACGAAGGTTGAAAAGTTCCATAGTGTTGCTTTAAGCTCTCTTTCACGTCTTCTTTCTCTTGAGCAGACAAATTGACACAAAAATTATGTCAAAAAACAGCGAGTATCCTAGTAAACATGGTCTGTTACGTCTTAAGTGAACGTAAACAGCTAAGAAAGTAAACGCATGTGTATCAGTATATTAGATCGGTGCGTTCGCTCTTAAAGTGACAGCAGCCTAATATTCCTGCTTCTGTCTGTGCTTTAATGTTAATCAAACATAAAAGAGAAAATCACTCACTGCTTTTGACTGAATTGCATCTTTAACAATGACTATGCAGTGTTATTTTACATTTACTTGAAAACTACTGTCTAAACTAAATTTTTAGTCACTGGCCATTGGCAGGTGTGGCAAAAAGTTAGTTTTAGGCCCTGTATGTATATAGAGAGGAAAGGATGAGCAACTCAAAGTTTTAATAATATTCTATGTGTTTCATGCTGTTATAAATATCTTTGTCTTTTCACAGGCAGAAAAGATAGCGTCACAAATGATTACCGAGGGCCGCATGAACGGATTCATCGACCAGATAGATGGCATTGTCCATTTTGAAAGTATGTTTGATATTTGACTGAATATGTTGGATGAAGACTGTATAGCCATGAATAAAATTTAAGAGGCTTACACACATGACATCTCTTATTTCCATCAGCGCGAGAGCCGTTGCCCACCTGGGACAAGCAGATCCAGTCGCTGTGCTTCCAGGTGAACAACCTCCTGGAGAAGATCAGTCTGGCTGCCCCCGAGTGGACGGCTCAAGCCATCGAGGCACAGATGACACAATAATCCACGCTCATTCTGTTGTCTACACATCACTTGGCTTTCTCTCCTCTCATTGGTCAAAACTGAAATTCTCCTGGCGCATATTAATGTTCTGTTAAGCTTGACCTTTCTGCTTGTGAGGTTTAATATTTTCATAGTTATGGTCTGTGAGTATCCAATAAACGTTGTGAAAATTTCTTTGTGTCTCAAAAATGTTGTCTCCATTTTGCTTCACAGATTTATATAAAACCACTAATCCCCCCTCCAAGAGAAATCCTTATAGTGAAATACTACAAACCAATGGAATAGAGTTGCGATCATTTGCATGGGCCTCAAATCTAACAAAAGTTAGGAAAAAAATGAGGAACTTGGAGACTCGCACTAGACCAGTGATTCTGACAGCAGAGAAAAACTGCTTGATGAAAAAAATGCATCTAACCATTTGCTTAATGGTTTTCAAAAAGGTTAAATGTAATAATAATATCCTGATCAGAGGCAAATAAGTAATTGAGGTAATAATGACCATCACTGGTGTGATTGTTTGTCACTGGTTATAACCCTTTCTCATTTTTATATTTGTGAAATAAAGCAAATGCACTGAACTATGTTCAAATATCCAACATTTTCAGAGTTTGAATTTGGAGAAATCATTTTTTTAAAATCCTTTTTTAACCATAAAATAATGCTCCCAGAGTTTTGTATGACAACATAATAACTACATAGTAAAATAGAAGAATGTTTTCAACATGTTTTCTATTTCTGTTAAATATTGAATTATTCATAATCATAAACTACATTTTTATTGTTATCAGGTCACAAGGAGATCGCTTGGAGGATCTTAGGGCATGTAGAGCGGGTCAGTTGTCCATAAATGAGACCAGACAATGACTATACAAGTGCAAGATTTGTGCTTTTTTGCAGGGCTGACTGGGAAGAGGTGCAGTATTCGGGTGAGAGTGAGCATTGGGTGTGTGAGATGGTGGAGTCTGGAGAAACCTTGACAGTCAGCACCCCCCCACCCCCCGCTCCCGAGGGCCGATGACCCCGGCGTCGTGGTGGCCGACCTCGTTCTCTTGCTATCTGCACATCTAATTTATGCTCCATTGAATGTGCGTTCAGTAGGCTAAACAAGAAAACGGCATTGCTTTATGATATTGTGGATATGAAACGACTTTCTCTGCCTTTGTGAGACATGGCATTATCCAAATGACTGTTACAATCTTAATTGGTCCATACACTGACAGACCTCAACTCACCGGCAAAGGTGGTGATCTTGCTATTTTAAGAACTTGCGATCTGATTATATGTCTGTTCCAGAAACTACTATTCCTGAAATGTTTTCCTGTTTAGTGGTTAATATTAATGTTGTCTCACCTGTACTTGTTATAGTTACTGTATCTATCGCCCCCCAAAGGCTGACTCTCTGAGCTTATTTTGACTGTTAAGTCCTATTTGTCCATACATGTTAATAGGTATTGTTAATATTCATATTGGTATTCAGGCTTGATTATTGCAATGCACTTTATTATTGCAATACTCTGGTTTTCCTGATAAATCCATTAAGAAACTGCAATATATTCAGTATTCAGCCACCCGGTACTGACTTGCACTGTGTGCTGAGTACTGACTCACTCTCTGTTCGCCAGCATATTTCCCCTGTACATTATCAATTACATTGGCTTCCCCTACAGGCACATATCAATTTTAATAAAGTGATGTTAACATAGAAAGCTATTCATGGTGGGACAGCACATGCATATCTCTATAATCTAGGAACTCCTTATACTCCAACTCTGTCTCTTTGCTCTTCTCTTATACTCTTTAGTGACCCTCATTTCAATTAAAGTCTATGGTTGGTTGGGCATAACCCTTCCTGTGGTGATTAGAACATTTTACCAAAACTGGACTGTTTTAAGAAGTCTCTTAAAGCCACACTATGTACGATTTTACATTTTTGTTAGACTTGACATTTTCACGGACTTTATACCCTTCACGTTACCCCCGATTCCCGGTTTTATTTTGCTGAAACCACGGAAACACCAAAGACGAATTAATATATTATGTGTTTTATTAGACAGCTGAGCAACTGTTTGGATCCTGGTCTGATGCGTTTACTTCGTGGTCAGGGAACATCAGACTCAGATATGTTAGTTTTAAACCGCAGGAGTGTCTTTACCAGATGCGCGGGAAAGACGATCAGGTGAGTGTGGCAATATAGCACTACTGATGGTTGATACAGTCTTTGTGGCCTTTTACCAGGGCGAAGAGGAGACCGTGAAGATGGACGGCAATTGTCCCTTGCCAGGTGAAGGGAAGAACCCTCTGGTTTGCTGGATCCAGCCGTCTCAGCCTCAGACGTCACGCCCATCAGTCTGAAGGTCTGGCTACGCGAGACTAGCCAAAGCCCGTCTACGGAAAGCCTGGCCACTCCCTATTAAGTCCTATTGTACCGACTTTTTGGTTGTAGTTCCACCAGAGTTCCACTGGGGGCAATAGTCCGAGTGCAAAATGAATGGGAGTCTATGGGGCTAAACGGCTAAATTGGTCTTTTTCACCCGATTGTCATTGAGAAATTTTAGATTTGAATGTAGGTTTTGCAAGTCCAACATGGGTTATAGATCGAAAGTTGAATGAACGAGTACTTATGTCCTTTCGATTTCTTACAGGTTGAGTTGTTGTTGCCCATAACACGCTAGCATTCTGCTAATGGACGCTGATTGGTCAGTGAAGGACTGATTACGACCAGAGATACCGCTTGATGGCATCGTTCGTGGCATCCGAAGCGGGACCACACATGTATTTACCCATAGATATGATGTCTATGTATTTACCTGTGTCAGTTGTGTAGTAGATGCCTCGAGAAAAAAGAAAGTGCAGAACGCAAAAGCATAGACATAATAACGTTGCTGCAATAGTTTTCTTATTGTGGAAAAAGCATTTTCTGTGATTGACCCGATTTTAGCAATAACAAAGATAACTGATGGATCCTTTATCTATGGTAATACGATATGGTACAACTACAGTGCAGTGCAAATAGTAAATATAAGATAAAGTGAGAAGTAATAGTAAATAGTTTAGTCAATAAAATAAACAAACAAACAGTACAGCAAATAAAATAGTAATGAAAAGGCTATATAAAATATAGGCTATATAAAATAAAATGACACAACCCTGTCTATTTTCAGTTTTATTGATCAGTAAGAGACATTATAACAGTATAAGTAGCCTAAAAGGTATAAGAAGAGTTATACAAGACAATAAATAAAGTAAACGATTCAGACACAGCAGGATACAACATTAAAATAGCCACAATATAAAGTTATGAAACTTCACTTTGCCGTCAGCCAAAACGATTTGCCAGGGAACAAGATTAATGAGACCAAAGATCGCCCGTTAGATATAGACAAGACGGGTTATATGTCATGTTTAACCACAAACGTCAGAAGCACCGAGGAAATGCTGTTCCAGGCGGGGTGCAGAGCGCTGAGACCCCGGTAAAGGCTTGGATATCACAACTCCGAAAACGTCAGATCAAATTTTTAAATAAGCGCTATCTTTATAAATAAACCACAGATTTGAGCTTTCAACAACTACATTGTGGACTGAAAAACTATTAAAACTACATTTCGTGACACAATAACAGTAGCATTTTTAAATTTCGCGGCTTCTCTCGTCTGTCTATGCGCGAAAGCACCAGTGAATGAAGGATTGCCGTAAAGCAGGTCTCTCTCTGGTCGTACGATGTGTATGACGTCATTGACATTTTAAAAGACTTTTTAAAGCAAATAAGTGACTCTAAAAAATCTAACACCCAGCAATGTGTAATTTCTTTGCATCTTCTTTCGAATACAACATTCGAATTACTAGACAAAAAATTATATCCTGAGAAAAGTGGATTTTTAGGGGTATTGCTCCATAGACCTCCATTCATTCTGCACTCCGCCTGTGAGCGCCCTCATATGGACCCAGAGTGGAACTGCAACAGTTCAAAACCCGGAAGTTTAATGTGAGTGGGAGTTCTCCCTTAGACAGTATAAGAAATGGACAGAGCCATCTCATTGGAACTCAGTTGAGACAGTTGAAGCCCATTTTTAGCGATTTCTGAGCACTTCCGTTCCTGACGCGCAGACTCAAACCGACTCAAACTAAGCTTGATGACGTGAGCAACCTGTCTGACAGACGTTAATCTTCTATAAGCTGTGCGTGAAATTTGCAAACGTTAATCTTGCAGAGACGGGGAACTTGAGCAAAGAGTTCTTTGGCATGAGTGAGCAGGACTAAGTATTCCGTTGCTTTTATGGACTCATTATCTATGGGCTTCTCCCTTGACGGGACGTCCCCCCGATTGCCTGCGAGCTTCTCCTCCTGTCTGTACGGTAATTTCTGTACAGCGCGACAGAGAGTCGAGTGGTTATGACGCAATCGTTAGCCTATTTTTACTAAAACTGTTTCTACGGGGCCATAATGTAACATAGAAGGTAATGGAGCACTTTATACATTGTCGTGTTTCTTTAGAAATAAATAATGGACAAATGGAGTCTTTAAACGCCTCAGATGTAAAGTTATTCGCTGTCAAAGTGACGCCAAAATGAATGGGAGTCAATGGAAATGCTAACGCAAGTGAAGTTCTGCTACAACATGGCGGCACCCGGCCGGCTTCAACTTCCGGTCGATGGATTACCCCCTTGAGTTCTCCCCATATTAGACTTTCTCTGATCCAGCTTTGACAATCACACCTTGCTCTTTCTAGTCCTTATCCTCTTCCTCCTCTTACATGTAGCCTTCTCTTCCTCCTCTACCAGTCGTTGTGTGTAAACAATGACAACTGTGATATAGTTGTGTTGTACTGTTTTGCTACACAAGTGCATCACAGTGCAAAATGTGTTAAAGAAGAGTTTTGCAAAAAGAGGGCATGAGAATTGCACATAATATCTAACTGCCAGAACTTGTTTAAGGTTTTGCAGAAAGAGTGATTTATTCATAAGGTCGTTAAGCATTTGGTTCAGAGAATGGGGTTTGGTATCTTAACAATTGTGAAAACTGTAACAAGACAGTATAGGGCTACATGGGGGAGACAATCAAGGGGATAACAACAAGGAAACTACAAAAGGACTACAAAGATGGGAGACAGAACAGGAAGTTCCAAATGTTCAGAGACAAACACAGAGAACATGACAAAACGAATCGTAAACAATGACAAAAATAAATAATAATATTTAATACACACAGAGCAAACTTGAGCTGATATAACCTTATACTAATGAGTCATTGTCACATTTTAACAAATATGGTGCTGTAAAACCTAAGAGTTACATATGCCAAGTATGGATATGTGTTAGTCAGTGGATACATGTGGTGCGTTATTGACTTTCATGACTCACAGTTGTCTTTACATGTCTCATACAGCTATAATGAGAACAGCAAAAAAAAAAAAAAAAAAAAATTCACCTCTACAAATCTTTGTTTATTTGATTACATGATAGAATGTAATAATTAGAAAGCAAATGTATATCTGGAAGCCAGGCTAAATTAATAAACACGCTATTGCATTCCTGACATGTATCAGACCCTCAGTCACCAACATACTTTGCAATTGCTTGTAAAATTAATACCAGCATAGATGCAATAGATTCAAGAAAACTATGATTCCCTAGTTTAATTGAATCTAATTAGAGCATTACATTAAAAAGAAAGCCAAGAATAAATTTTTTGAAGAGAAACAATTTGTAAATCACAAATTTGATTGAGCAAATCAGATAATCTGTTTTCCCAGTTCAAAGCTATTTAAACAAATTGTTTCTATGAGGAGTGTTATTTGTTTTTATTCTAACTGAATGAAATCAACCACGCTTTTCGATTAGACCAATATGCACTTTAAATAAATGTCATTGTCTTTTTTATTTTTTTCCGTCTAGTAGAGGTAGATTGTCAGCTGTTTCCCCGAACTTCTCTGAGGATATAGTATATGTGTCTGAAGATGGATCTAGTTGCTCTGGGTTTGCTTTATTAGATGCGGCCTGTAATGTTGATCGTGAGATTCTTGACGGATCCCCCTCCGGCTGCTGTTGCTGTGTTTCTGCATCTGCCCGCTGTAAAAATAATTGGACGTTGTTTATTTGTTCCTGTCCTCTTGTCTTTGCCTTGTCTTTAGCCAGGTTTTTCAATTCCTTTCTTATATAGAGGTCAGTCTTCTCCAGGAGAATCTTATTATACTGATATGCAAGTGGCCGCATGCAGTCAGCTTGCCTTATTGCTAAGAAGAATGTCCAAATGACACTTAGTCCAAATAAAACCAAAATGGCGATCTCCTTAAAAAGAAATGAATATAAATTAATTGCAAGATAACAGGCACGAGATCAGTGACTGTTCTTTCTGTGATTTAAAATTATATTTAACTTAAAACAGACATTTAAATCATGTGCTTATTATGATGTTATTATTTAGATTTTACAATCAAAACACTTCCACAATATTTATTTTTTCCATCCGAGCTTATCCCAACTGCTGTCTACCATAATTGGGCACCGGGGCTCAAATAATATCGGTTTCGGTACCTATCCCAACTCGTAACCAGTATAACCGGTTTTACCATCTACCGTGGCAAGTCTAAAATAAATCAAAAGCATATTTACTCGTGACAAACTTTTCTTTGTCCGGATATCTGCATCTTCAGCAGGGGTTTTGATATTTTTGCAAAAACTTTGCTCATAAGGTGGCAAGCTATAGTTAGTTGTTGTAAGGCACACATACCAGTCCCCATCAATCAGTACTGCAATTATCCACAGGCACGCTACAGAGATTGCTTTAATTATTGGCATTAAAATAATAATGCTCTTGCATTGTATTCCTGTCCCATTGCTGCAGGCAGTACTCCTTATGCGCTTGTTAGCAATAATCACTACAATGAAAAGTGAGATGGCAGGAAAAATCATGTAAACTACACAGATGTGAGTATTTTCCTTAGGGTCACAAGGACATTGAAAATCCAATTTAAACACATACTGGAAAATAATCCAAAACAAAAAGGTAATAAATGCACTGCCAGCTGGTACAAAAAGTTCCTTCAGGTCATCAGTGGCCAAGTAAGGTGGCATTGTAATTGACAACGGTCCTTCAGTAACACAGACACAACTAAAAAGCACTGTTTAAAAAAGAAAGTATCAAGGAACGGGTGAACTCTTTATATCATCCTGAAAGATCATGAAGGACCTGGTCACGTGGTGAAGACACCACCCATTTCATAGCTGCTCTGGAGTGAGTTGCTGCAGTTTTTAGTGACTACATTCAGTTATTGCACCTGATACTCAATGATTTACTGTAAAGATCATATAGAAATTCATACAGAGATTTTTATTGAGTAACATCAACTGGTATTACATTTTCTGTGATGTTGTTTATCATACTATAACTATCCTAACATGCAGAAAATCCAGCCTTTGAGAAGTGAACCACAAACCATTTTGTTATAGAGTCAATATACACTTATAGTGTATAGAAAACAGAAAACACGAGGGAAACATAGATAACGAACCAGCACAGGACTGCAAACACAGGGAGACTAAATAGGGAGCAAACAAAAGAGGGTAACGAACAAAGCAGGTGGGGAAGATTAATTAATTATCAGGTAACGAGATGGGAGGGGCTAGACAATTGACAGGAGAGCACATGGCACAAGGAATACAAGACAAGCCATGTGCTCACAATGAACCAGACTAAACATAAACACAGGACAAACTGGGAATGTCAGAGCTCTGTCACCAACCAGAATATATCCCAGACAGAAGTGACAGAACCCTGACATAACCCCCTCTCATTCCTGACTGTGAACCCGGATGGCTCAGACAGTCCATCGGGTGGCCAGGGCGGATCCGGCTGTGCAAGCGACCAGGCCGGAGCAGGCTGTGCAGGCGACCAGGGTGGAGCAGGCGACCAGGGCGGAGCAGGCGACCAAGGCGGAGCAGGCGACCAGGGGGGAGCAGGCGACCAGGGTGGAGCAGTCGACCAGGGCGGAGCAGGCTGTGCAGGCGACCAGGGCGGAGCAGGCGACCAGGGCGGAGCAGGCGACCAGGGCGGAGCAGGCGACCAGGGCGGAGCAGGCGACCAGGGCGGAGCAGGCTGTGCAGGCGACCAGGGCAGAGCAGGCTGTGCAGGCGACCAGGGTGGAGCAGGCGACCAGGGCAGAGCAGGCTGTGCAGGCGACCAGGGTGGAGCAGGCGACCAGGGCGGAGCAGGCGACCAGGGCGGAGCAGGCTTTGCAGGCGACCAGGGCGGAGCAGGCGACCAGGGCGGAGCAGGCTGTGCAGGCGACCAGGGCGGAGCAGGCAACCAGGGTGGAGCTGGCGACCAGGGCGGAGCAGGTGACCAGGGCGGAGCAGGCTGTGCAGGCGACCAGGGCGGATCCGGCTGTGCAGGCGACCAGGGTGGAGCAGGCGACCAGGGCGGAGGAGGCGACCAGGGTGGAGCAGGTGACCAGGGCGGAGCAAGCGACCAGGGTGGAGCAGGTGACCAGGGCGGAGCAAGCGACCAGGGCGGAGCAGGCGACCAGGGCGGAGGAGGCGACCAGGGTGGAGCAGGTGACCAGGGCGGAGCAAGCGACCAGGGCGGAGCAGGTGACCAGGGCGGAGCAAGCGACCAGGGCGGAGCAGGCGACCAAGGCGGAGCAGGCGACCAGGGCGGAGCAGGCGACCAGGGCGGAGCAGGCGACCAGGGCGGAGCAGGCGACCAGGGCGGATCCGGCTGTGCAGGCGACCAGGGCGGAGCAGGCGGCCAGGGCGGAGCAGGGGACCAGGGCAGAGCAGGCGACCAGGGCGGAGCAGGCTGTGCAGGCGACCCTTCGGGCAGCCGTGGCAGAGAGGACCTTTCAGGTGGACATGGCGGCAACAGCCTTTCGGCCAGCTACTTCGAGGACGTATAGCCCCCCACGAAAACTTTCTTGGGGGGAGTGACAGACTCAGGGACAGGCTCTGGGACCGGGACAGACTCTGGGACCGGAACAGGCTGTGGGACCGGAACAGGCTCAGGTTCGGGGACAGGCTCCGGGCTGGACGGGACCAGCGGGGAAGGCTCTGGGCTGGACGGGACCAGCGGTGAAGGCTCTGGGCTGGACGGGACCAGCGGTGAAGGCTCTGTGCTGGACGGGACCATCGGTGAAGGCTCTGGGCTGGACGGGACCAGCGGTGAAGGCTCTGGGCTGGACTGACTTGAGGCTTGGCAGTTGGCAGGACTGACGTGAAGCACAGGCGGCTTCGGCAGGGCAAAGAGCTTGGGCGGCGCCGGCAGTACTTAACCAGTACTTAACGGCAGTACTTAACCAGTAAGGCTCACACGATGACAAAAACACTTCTGGTTGTTGTTGCATGGACCAATTTGCTGACACAATAAGTAGGTTTTGAAGCAAGAATTAATGGTTTTGGTCAGTTACTACATTTTGTTGACATTAAAAAAGTTTTGATGTCCCAACTAACAATTAAAGCATTAACAGGGAGGGGTTTACGATGCTGGGCCATAAGATTCAAACAATCTGTTCTTGTTCCTCCATTTCTCAGACAGGAAATGTCAGTAGATGAGATGAAACTGTGGAACTGTTCTGTGATATTGTACAAAGAGAGAGTGTTTTATGTTTAAACCCAACTCTCATGTCATCTTATTAAAGTTGACACAGAGCCACCTGCTGTAGACTGTAGACTGACTGAAGTGAAAACGCTGATGACGCTACGCTGATGACACGCAACTCTACCTCTCATTCCAGCCTGACGATCCGACGGTAGCTGCTCGTATCTCAGCCTGCCTGACAGACATCTCTGGCTGGATGAAGGACCACCACCTTCAACTAAACCTTGCGAAGACAGAGCTACTTGTGGTCCCGGCCAACCCAACACTTCATCACAACTTCTCCATTCAGCTAGGCTCGTCATCCATAACTCCATCAAGATCAGCTAAGAACCTTGGGGTTGTAATTGATGATCAGTTGAAATTCACAGACCATATTGCTAGAACTGCCCGGTCCTGCAGATTTGCCTTGCACAACATTAGGAGGATCAGGCCCTTCCTTACAGAGCATGCCACACAACTCCTTGTCCAAGCACTTGTTTTATCCAGACTGGACTATTGTAATGCTCTCCTGGCTGGTCTTCCAGCTTGCTCTGTCAAACCTCTACAATTGATCCAGAATGCTGCAGCCAGAGTAGTCTTCAATGAGCCGAAGAGAGCACACGTTACTCCTCTACTCACACAATTGCACTGGTTGCCAGTTGCCGCTCGCATTAAATTCAAGGCACTGACGTTTGCCTACAGAACAACCACTGGCACTGCTCCCTCTTACCTAAACTCATTAATTCAGACTTATGTGCCATCCAGAAACCTGCGCTCTGCTAGCGAATGTCGTCTTGTGGTACCATCTCAAAGAGGCACAAAATCTCTTTCTCGGACCTTTACCATGGCTGTTCCCTGTTGGTGGAATGATCTGTCTAACTCAACCAGAGCTTCTGAGTCAGTAGCCACTTTCAAGAAACTGCTGAAGACATATATTTTTCGGCAGCACTTGATTCAGTAGAATTAACACTTTCTCTTCTCTTCTATTCTAAAAAAAAAAAAAAAAAAAACTGCACTAAAATTAAACTGAGAGGGGTTATAGCACTTACGTATTGTTGTCCTTCTGTTAGTTTAACTGCTTCTATTGTTCTCATTTGTAAGTCGCTTTGGATAAAAGCGTCTGCTAAATGAATAAATGTAAATGTAATGTAAATGTAAAAGGACTTGAGTTTAGAAGACATGAGCTGGAGAAGATCTGTGCAATATGAAGAACATTGTTCTGGGCTTCATGCTGAAATTGGAGCAATGATGTAGCCAAAAGCATTCACAACTGTAATTTTGGAAATGTTCAAAAAGACAAGAAGCAATTATTTTCTTTATGCATTTTATTTGTTACACTGGAATGCTTTAAGAAACGTTTTGAGTAACTTTACAATAGTAAGGCATTTACAGATCATATAGACTAAAGTATGACAATAACATGACACTATATTTACAACTTGATGCTTTTTCTAATAATTTAGTGATTTCCAAGACAATGTATGTGGGTGTAACTGTACTAAGAATATACTTTACAGTAAATCTAACTGTTTTAAAAGAACATTTTGTCAGAAATGATACAATTTAATTATCAAAATAATTACTATATTATCCTAAGGACAGACTCTTAACTTACAATCACTCATAGTTTCACACCACAACCAACATGGCATAATCTGATGAAGTGCAAGCATGACATTGAGCAATGCCCATGATGTCTGTGGTCCAAAGGCTGTTTTCAGTCTGATGCCAGCAACAGCCTGTACTTTCATACTGTCCAAGTCATAAAGTTTGATTAGTTCCCAATAATTAAGGACTACATGGTAGTGTGCTGTAGATAGACTGCTAGATAGCATTTTTCTCAGTTGCCTTTTGGAAAAAGAACAATTATGTTCAGCGCTTTTGCTCCGTGTAAGAAAGTTTCCTCAGAATTCTCCAGTACTCTTCCTAATTTCAATGTCTCTCTTCAGCTGGCAAGCTGCACAAGACATGCAGAAGTACCCGACACAAAAATCATTACACATGGATCCCTGGAGAGCAAAAACAAAAATACATATTTATATTAATTTGCGATAGATAGATAGATAGATAGATAGATAGATAGATAGATAGATAGATAGATAGATAGATAGATAGATAGATAGATAGATAGATAGATAGATAGATGGATAGATAGATACTAACTTGTATGTTGTATTTAGTTCGGTATACACTTCGGATCGGCATTCCTAAGCCACATAAGCAGCACTCATTCATGTCCTTAGCAATGGAGCAGCCCAAACACGGGAGGCAGAAATAGCCACAACAGCCTAATAAAGTATATGATTGATGTTAAAATCACATTATGACTACTTAAGACTTTATAGATCATGGAATTTTGAATTACTTACATATGCTCATGTCTTCACAGCAGCCCATTAAGCTCGTGTGAAAGTCTCTGGGTGCGAATGCTGCAGGTTGAAATGTGACCTCCATGATCTACAGGTAAAGAAAAGTGAGGCATCAAGAACACTAAAACATTTTTCCAAACTGCCAAACTGTTACAAACATATTTAGTTCACATGACACCTAAGTGAATGCTTAATTTGCATGTTCCAAAAAGTTGATCAAAAAGATGATATTTAAATGTACCTTTCTTGCCGTTGAATCAGGAAACTTCTACACACTCAAGGCACAGGATGTCTTTATATACAGTTGGAAAGTCACAAGTTCAGACACACCCTTCAAATCTACAGTAAATAGTTTTTAATTGTTGTAATTTATATTGCACTTCCTTTAGGTCCAAAGTCCTAAATAGTTAAAAGGCATACGTTCTGTTTTCTGTCACACCTTCCAGTGATGACATTTGTTGCCACATCGCCTCGTGAAACCATCGCTTTTACAAGAACAACAGCATATATCATTATAGTCAAACTAATTAAATGAATTGAAACATCAGCATTAAAACAATGAACAACGTGTTTTACAACATTTATTATTTTTAATAATATTATGAAAATAATCATATGTTTTTGGTAATGTTAGTTAAATAGAAATAATGTTAGTTCACAATGCATTAACACAAGTTAACAAATACAACTTTTTATTTTTTAAATGTTTAAAATGTTGAAATTATCATTGATTAGTATGAATAAATGGTAACTAATGTAGTTATGTTAACAAATGAAATCTTATTGTAAATTGTTACAGATTTTTTTTAATGTTTTTGAAAGTTTCTTCTGCTCACCAAGACTGCATTTACTTGATCAAAAATAGATAAAAGAGAAATATTATTACAACTTAAAATAACTGTTTTCAATGTGAATATATGTTATAATTTATTACAGTGATCAAAGCTGAATTTTCAGCATAATTTTTTTTGTTTTCAGTGTCACATGATCCTTCAAAAATCATTCTAATATGCAGATTTGATGATCAAGAAACATTTCTGATTATTAACATTGTTGAAAACAGTTGTGCTGTTTCATATTTTTTTGTGGAAACCATGGTATTTTTTTCTTTGATTAAAAAGTTCAAAACTCTTGATTTTAGTTGTTGTTTAAACACCTTCCAAAATGTTAGAGAGGTTTCAAAGTTTTGGACAATCAACTTAAATCCTTATAATTTCTTGGCCTAACTTGCAATTATCATTGAAGACCAGCAATAAGGAAAGAATTTCTTTTTGATTATCTAATAATAGTAATACGTCACAGTCAGACATGCCCCTTTGGCAGCTGTGACGCCTGAATACTGGATTCAACTTGGCCCAGATGTTACTGTGTCAACAAATGTTTATAGCTTTACTGACTGACTGAAAGAGAAATGAGGTCAGCACAAAATAAACCAATTGGAACACAGTTTAGAGATGGTTAATGAATAGATGGAGCATTTTCTCACTTTGCCAAGGGCATTTTCAAACTTTTGAATGGCACCATATTCAAATAAAACAAAAATTGCCTCTTGTCTTTTTGGATTTTTGATTCAGGTTACAGATGTGGAGAAGTGTCACCCAATGGAAATCGTGTTGGCCATCAGTCTTTGCATCCCCCAAAGTTTGAGTTTGACTAATACAAATAGGTTGAGTAGCCTTGTGAAGGTGGCAAGGGAAATTATTTGTGAAGATCAGACTGGTCCTGATTTATTTATTTTTTATTATGTTTTTAAGAAGGCTCAGGTTAGTCTTTGTACCGATGATGACCACCCCTTACAATCTGAGTTTAAGATGTTGCCTTTGAGCTGTCGTTTTAGAGTATCTCTAAGCAGGACAAAAATAACTAAACATTCATTTGTCTGTGGCTATCAAGCTACCAAACTGTTCTGGGCCTGGTGAAAGTTTACTTTTGTATGTAATAGTTTATCTTATATAAATAAAATGGATGTGGTTAGTGTTCTAGCACCTTGCTGCAATGTTAGTTTCCCTAAGTGGGACAATAAGCGTACTATTTTAGATAAAAAACAATCAGAACATTTTGATACCACTAGTTTTTATCCCACTTCCAGACCATCCGCTTCTAGCTAATAACCTGCTATCATAATTGTAGCTGTACTACTGCCAGTCTTGTTTATAATTCTCCTAACTCTGTTGTCGTCCATCACTGTTTATACTGCCGATTGTTTCAGATGTGTGTCAGTGTGAGTGCAGGTGAGGACACATTCGAGCTAAACTATGCAGTTGGACCTGGAGGCCATGGAGAAAAAGAGCAGAGGGATCATAGGGCAGACATGGAGAGTCATAACTCTAAGCCAGAGGTCACAACTTTGAAGACCATGGTGTATCTGGCTGGCTGGTGAAGTGGAGGGCTGAGGAGAGCAGGCAGAGATGAGGATGAGGAGGAGTCAGGGGAGTTGAGGAGGAAGGGCAATGGAACTATAGAGTCTAATATTCTTGACGGGACCGGCGGAGGAATGCAGAAGAAATGAAACTGAACACTTTGTAATCACTGTTGACTTTGCTTACATGATGGAATATCATACATCTCACATGTTATTTTGGCAAAAACGACATTTCAAGGTTATTCTGGCTAGAAGTGGGTAACTCATAGCCGAGTGTAAGGGCGAAAGGCCTAGATCCATGACTGACCAGTTAATGAGTAAGGTATCTCAAAAACTCACGTGTATGGTCCTCGAGGGAGCGATCACCATGGGTGATGACGAGGATTCGAACAGCCGCTGCTAGATCCATAATTCATATTTTCCTTCAGAAGACATTGATTCATCAACTGTGGTCTTGTGGATTACCGCTGTGTTAACTTGTGTGGTTTTTGATGCATCGACTTTAGAGGTCCCACACACTTGCATTATATAGAATCACAGAGAGGGATTGTTTTTCTAAAAATCTTTCTTTTTGTTCATCTGAAAAAAGAAAGTCATACATCTGGGACAGCATGAGGGTAAGTTAATGAAGAGATCTGGTATCCCAGATGAAGTATCCCTTTAAGATAGGCTTATATGATATCATATGACATATGATATAATTTCCTGTTTTTGTTTTGTTTTCTCAATGAAGTTTAATTAATTGTAACTCTACTTCCTTAAATTCGAACACAACTCTGTCAGCCACAGATATCAAACTCAAACTTTATATTGGATATTGGTCCATTGAAATAAACCAAGTTGTTTTTTTGGGTTTTTTTTTAAGTACCACAGGGCCACAGAGTTTACAGTCTCGGGAAGTCCACCTATGAACAGATCTATGAACAGACCTGTTGATAACATTGATAGCGGTTTGGCTGATGCCATTGCTTACATCAAAGCTTCCCACCTTCACATGGAGCAAGCAGTAAATCACATGATTAGGAGAGTATTTATTTATAAGATTGGAAGGGTTTGTGAAAATAATAGTTGTTATAATAAAATGTTAACAGATATTGTTTTCAGACTTATGGAAACATGTTAACACTATACTTACAACATGATCTTGCTGAAAATGTGTTTGAAGTAGAGATAAAGGAAATCAATATAGTTGTAAACTTACGAAGAATTTGCGGTAATTGTACCTGTAATGAAACACTTTGTTGCAAATAGCAGAATTCAGCTGTAGAATTATATTGAGGAACCATATACATCCTTTATTGTATATGGACCCGGTGGGAGGTTTTTGGTAGTGTCGACATCAATGAACATGTTGAAATAGTTACTGATTATATAAATTCCTGTGTGAATACTGTTATTCCGTTCGTTAAGGTCTACTACCCTAATGATAAACCCTGGGTGTCAAAAGAATTAAAGATCCTTGCTAATAAAAAGAGAAAGTCATACAAAAAACAGGATGTGGTAACTCAGAGGTACATACAGAAGCAGATTAAAAGACAAATAAAAATAGATAAGCATACATACAAACATAAAAAATTAGGCATTTCACGATATACCTGGCAGGGGATTAAGAATATGACAAATGTACCGCATAAGGGAAGAGGCAAACGTTTCTAGACCTTTAGGATTACATGATTTTTGACCAATAGCACTAACATCTCTAGTGATGAAATGTTTTGAGCGTTTAGTAAAAGCGTACAGTGTATCTGAAACAGAGCATCTCATAGACATATCTTCTCATCTCATAGCATATCAGTCCTCTTTAACTGTATTACATCTGCTGTATTCACATTTAGAGAAACCAAAGGCTCTAAAACTCTATATGTGGATTTCTCATCCACTTTTAACTGTATTTCCCCAAGTACGTTAACAGATACCCTGGCAAAATAATTCTCATTAGACAGTATGTTGCTTACATGTGTAATGGATTTCCTTAATTTGACAATCTCGCAGGTTAAGTTAGGAGGTGTCACGGAGCGCTCTCCTCCCTCTGGCGTCATCAGATCACTCTCCCCTGAATATTAGGACTGCACTTCCCATCACCCCCTTCACCATCTGATCACCATCCATCCCTGCCTCATCATCATCACTGTCACCTGTGCACACTCAGACTCCTTTATCTGGCCCCTTCTCCCCTTGTTGGGTTACGGAGAGATTGTTGAGCAGGAGGGACGTAGAGGTCATTAAGCAAGGCTGAGTTGAGTGGGGGACGGAGGGGGGTGATTTTGGGACGCAAGAGTCACTGTCTTCATGTTTTATCATTTACGCCTGTGTTATGGAAATCATCATTATGAACAGCAGCTACGCGAATTATTTTCCCTTTTTGCCTTTCTGCTGTTATCTCGGGACGCGAGTCCCGAGAAAATGGCGTTCGTCAGCTCCAGTTTGTATCCAGCCTCTCACGGAGACTTCAGATGCCCCAATCACAAAGCCTGTGAAGAGACGACCCAACGCCGGCGATATGGACTCTCTATGGTGGACGGCACTGATCCTCAACAACTCGTCTTAATACCGGCGTGATTACTTGGACTTCCAAAAGATGGAAATGGACAAATACTCTAAATGTTCCGATTCCAATCTGACTTGTAATGCTGCCCGAATCATGCACTGTTCCTTCGTTGGTCAGAGGAGAACTGGCCCCCCGACTGAGTCTGGTTTCTCCCAAGGTTTTTTTCTCCATTCTGTCACCTGATGGAGTTTTGGTTCCTTGCCACTGTTGCCTTGGCTTTTGGCTTGCTTAGTTGGGGACATTTAATATTCAATAATATCATTGATCTGCCTTACTTAAGGTGGACGTTGACGCAATTTTCTTTTAGAAACAAACTTTGTTATATTGTTTTCATGTTATCACTGTGAAGCGCTTTGATACAATCTGTATTGTAAAAAGCGTTATATAAATAAAGGTGACTTGACTTGACTTGACTTGTTCATTGCGAAGTCTTGTTTTGCCCTGCAGACATTTCCAAGCATTCCTGAGCATTTCCTAAGATCCCTGGTTTTCCTGGTTCCCTGATCTTTGCCTGTTCTCTGCTCTGTGTACGAATGTTTGCTGCCTGCCTCGACCTCAGCCTGTTTACGACCACGAGTTCTGGACTGTCCCTCTATTTCATTGTCCGCCTGAGATTTATGTCTGCTTCTCTTTGTCTTCTGGTGTGTTTAAATAAAGTGCTGCAAATGGATCTGAACGCCTCTGACTCCTCGTTACAGGAGGGTCTCTTTCAGATAAAATTACTTCAGTCGGATCACCTCAAGGATGTGTCTTATCTCCATTATTATTTATTGTATATACTAATTCATATGCAGATGATACTGCTTTAGTGAGCCTTCGACTGATGTGGAGGAAGAGCATGGACCTGTTTCGGATTTCTTTTTAAACTGGTGTGAGGAATCAAATCTCCTCTTAAATGCCTCCAAAACTAAGGAGATGGTTTTTGATTTTAGAGTGAAAGTCAAGATATAACCCATCCTACAAATTAACGGGGAACAAATTCAATTAGTAACAAATTATAAATACCTCGGTATAGTTTTGGACCATAAACTCAAATGGGATGTGTGGACTGATTATGTAAGTAAGAAGACACAACAGAGGTTGTATTTCTTAAAAAGAAATTACTATCTTTTAATGTCCATAGCAGAGTGCTTTTGATGTTTTATTAGGCTTTTATTGAAAGCGTTATTACGTTCAGTTTGAGTTGCTTCAGAGGCTCAGAAGGAATAACTAAGAAAAATAGTAACAATGACAAGCAAACTTGGGAATTAAGTTAACAAGTATAGAGAGTATATATATAGAGAGTGTGCAGAATAAAGCTAACATCATTGTGAATGATAAGAGGCATACCTTATCTTATGCTTTTGAATTACTTCCATCTGACTGACGGTACTGTGTTCCCCGATGCATGAAAAACACATACAAACTATATCTTTTATCCCCCAAGCAATTCGATTTTTATAGTAATTTTCTTCTTGTGTTGATTGATGGTCAGCTGGTCTGTTTATCCTAAATAATATTTATTTGCTTTAAATTATTGGGTTTTACTTTATTTTGATGGCCCCTTTAACACATTCTGTTGACTATAAGTAACGTTGCACCTACATGTCTACTCTCATTAGAGTGTTAGTAGTGTATTAGTAGAGTATTAGTGTATAGGGTTCGGGTTAGAATAAATTGACATGTATAGTTGCAAAGTTACTTATAGTCAGTAGAATGTGAGCATCACAATAAAGAGTTATCAGATATTAAGCAGACAGTCTACTAATACTCTAATGAGAGTTAGTTGACTTGTAGTTGCAAAGTTACTTATCGTCAATCTAATGTTCAAAAGGGACCATCAAAATAAAGTGTTACCAATTATTGTTTGTATATAACTGTGATTTTTTAAATGTCTGTGTGAGCATGCTGCAAACTACTTTCCCTATGGGGATAAATAAACTTACTTACTACTACTAAATAAACTTACTACTATTATTATACCTCTCTTTGACTCTATACATAGGAATTCATATGTTTCACAACACAAACTACAGGCCATACTGACAATATACTAATATGACATCATCAGTAATGTGCTGGTTACACCACTGGACCTTTTCTGAGCTACATTTTATGATAACATGAATGTGGAAGCATGCGCATTTTGCCCATTGAGGCTTAAATAAACTTATGATACACTCTTAAAAATCAAGTTTCTTTATTGGCAATGATGGTTCCATGAAGAGCCTTTAACATCCATTAACCCTTTACATTGCAGAAAAAGTTCTTTACAGTGGAAAAAGGTTTTAGATTATTAAAATGTTCTTCACAAAAAAGTTCACTGAAAGCTTCTTTGGGGAACCAAAAATGGATCTTCTATAGCATCGCTGCAAAAAAAACAACTTTTGGAGCCTTTATATTTAATGACATTGTCATTGCGTATTAAATGATTAACTCCTTCAACTTTCTTTGATCTTTAGTTTCCAAGAGCAGAGCATAAGGAGTCGCTGGTATAGACGGCCAGAACTCGGAAACTCCTTCAGTTCTCATGGTTTCAGTGTTCCAGTACTCTTCCTTATGTTGATGTCCCTCTTCAGCTGGCAGGCTGCACACGAGAAGCAGCAGTACACGGTGAGCCAGTCATTACACATGGAACCCTGGAGACACAACCATGCAATTCAATCAAAACTAGGCGATAGATAGATAGATAGATAGATAGATAGATAGATACTAACTTGTATGTTGTATTTAGTTCGGTATACACTTCGGATCGGCATTCCTAAGCCGCATAAGCAGCACTCATTCATGTCCTTAGCAATGGAGCAGCCCAAACACGGGAGGCAGAAGAGGCCACAACAGCCTAATAAAGATATATGATTGATTTAGAAGTAAATCACATCAGCAGGATAGATGTATAGCTCACAATTTACTTGCAATATATTTGTGTTTAATGTCATTGGAATCACTTACATACGCCCACGTCATCACAGCAGCTCATTAAGCTCGTGTGAAAGTCTCTGGGTTCGAATGCTGCAGGTTGAGATGTGACCTCCATGATCTAGGACAGGTAAAGAAATTTAGGGCATCAAGTTTATTTTTAATCGCTTTTTTCTTTTCCCAAAGCATTTTTCAAACCTTTAATCAGACATAGGAGTTTTTTTTAACATTTAAATATAGAATTTACTCATTTTTACCAAAAGGTAGGTAATATTTAATAGTAGCTTTACCTGATTTGTTTTCCCCCTTCGCAGTTGAGTCAGGATATTCCTCTATGCACTGAAAAATGCACAGTATGCCGATTATATATGGTTTGAAAAGTCACATGTTCAGGCACGCCCTTGGGAATGCATGGGAAAGGGTCAATACGTAGGCCTACCTTGTTATTATCAAAATATTTATTGCCCCCTTCCTATAGGTTCAAAGTCCTGCAACAGTATTGTAGCAGATAATGGTTATAAATAGCCACAAATGTGTTTGTTTTTCCAAGAATTTGCTATTAGTTGCTATTTGCTTTCACACCTTGATGTAATGTGCTGCCACACCTCTCATGTCTGTCAGAGAAATGAAAAATACAATATCATTATAGTTAATGAACTGAATCGACAGACTATGATGATTGAAACTAATAATTAGCTATTTTTGGAATAATATTCTGAATATGAATAAAAGCTATTCTTATAAGACTAGGCAGATAAAGGTCATTAAACGTGGATATCGCTATTTCTTTTATTAGAAAATTAAAGTGACAGACAGTGGGCTTATGCTACGTGACTTGTGGATTCTGTTTACTCAGTAGCCTAATTTGAAGCTCAGAACTGATTTATTGCTAGCTAACTAAAACACTGTTGCCATGAGTATAGTAACGACATACAATTGACTTTAAAGATCCAGAGTACACTGGACACACTGCTATTAGGCAGCTGTTTGTACCAGGGTTAATATTTTTAACTAAAACTATTAAAAACATTAATGTTAAAGGGATAGTTCACCCAATAAATATATTCATTTCCAAAAAAAAAAAAATAGAAACCGTGTGGCAAGGTCTGAGAAACAGTTTCTTTTCTCCATTGCATTTTTTTGTTTAAAGGACAAGTTCGGTATTTTACACTTAAAGCCCTGTTTCAAGATCGTTTCTGATGAAATAGAACGGATAAGATTAAAATTTGGACACATGCTGCTGTCCCGAGAAATTTCGATTTCTGTGGTCGCAGCCCCCCACCTCCACAATGGTTGCATAGGTGCACAGAAACAATCCTTCATAAAACGCATTAAACTTTAGTTTACAAAGACGTGAAACAGAAACTCACCGAGTGGTTGGGGTGTTCACTGATATGCTCACACAAAAATCGCTGCAAAAGATGCTTTCCAACAGGTTTTATAGTAGTTTTTGTCCAAGTCAAGTCAAATGGAGTTGGACAAAAACTACGATAAAACCTGTTGGAAAGCATCTTTTGCAGCGATTTTTGTGAGCATATCAGTGAACCACAGAAACCGAAATTTCTCGGGACAGCAGCATGTGTACAAATTTTAATCTTAACCGTTCTATTTCATCAGAAACGATCTTAAAACAGGGCTTTAAGTGAAAAAAATACCGAACTTGTCCTTTAATGACTAAAAATAAATAATTATTTTCTTTACACCGTACACTCATAAAAACTTTATTCCTGACTGCAGTGATGACATTATAATAAGATAAAAAGTTAAAATCCTTTAAAAAATTGGAGTAGAATCGATTTTTAATCAAATTCAGCATTTTTTTATGACTTAAAAAATTAAGTAAGTAAATTAAAAAGTAAATTATTTTACTCACAGCATAGACTCACAAAAATCCTTTTTCAAACATATTTTGCGAGGTAATTTTACAGTAACTTTTTAAATAATTATTTAATTAATTGATAAATTAAAGATAAATAGGTTATCTCACAATAACTTTGATTTGGAGGAAAATATTTATAATAATAAATATAATAATCTTTTAAAATATACCTGCTGTACTGGAACACTTTACACATTGAATGTTATATAATATCTGTTATTATATGTTATATTATGTAGACTTCTTTTATCATTATCTCAGGAAATAAACTCTAGACATCAATCAAAAGATTTGATTGCATTTTTTCCCCTAATCTTCTAGAAAATCAGCAAACTCATTTCTGAGCAGGGTGAGTCAGTATTGGAAAGTTTTGTCATCTGTGTACATGGGTCATCTAAGAGGCTGGACTCAAATGCATGTCTACTCCACCCTCAGAATAAAGGATTAAAAAAGCATTTAAAGCAGAGGAAAATATGAACGTGAGCCATTTAGACCAGCTAAACCTCCTGTTTAGGTTATTTATATCACTTCTGGATATGAGCAGAAAGAGTTAACTAGATACTCGAAGATAACCAGAGGAAATTGTGAGGTCACATAAAGATAACATCATTATTCATGGCTTCCTGGAATGCTTGATCCTGATTGGTCATTGGTCGTGGCTTTCTGTAGTGAAATATTTTGTATAATGACTTCTAAACTGTATAATATAGCTGCCAGTCACTGCTCTGACATGTTATTTTTCTGGCTTGTCTATTTTTTTATTAAGAGTAAAAAACAAAACAAAAAACAATTGCCCATGACCCTTTATTGTTGAATAAATGTGTCATATTTTCAGCAGTTTTCGTAAAGCATTATAAAAACACAAGTGTGGTAAAAGTATTCACCCAAAAGGATTTTGGGTTGTTTTCATTTCATTTATATACAAAATACAGAAACACCACAAAAAAAAAGCCCATCAATCAGAGGTGTCTGTTGCAGAATTATGTACAAATGGCTCTGGCAGAAGGTGTTTTATAGCGTCACAATAGTGTTTTTGCTCGGCTGTGATTGTGTGGTCCTGTAACTGACTCAAATAAATGAACTTATTCGGCTTCAATCTGTGTTTGAAGATTCAGTAGTGCTGTCGGAAGAGGACGACCCCGTGTCTTTCTTTTTCTGTTTCTTCTTGTGTTTCTTTTCTTTCTCCCTTTTCTCCTTTTTTCCCTTCTTCTTGTGGCTCTTGTGCTTTTTCTTCTTCTTGTTCACTTCCTCCTCCTCCTCATCACTTGATGAGTGAGACCTGAGGTTATGAAAGCATAGACATATGATCAAACCCCTGTTAATTATGACATACAACATTTATAAAAATGTGATTTCACTATTCTAAAGATGAAACAGATAAATGTATCATATGTTAAAATGTAGGTACATGTTTATGAAGGACTACGAGCGCCATTTTAAAAAAATATATCAGTTATACACCTTTTTTTTCATTTCTTTATTGGATTTTTCTACACGGAAAAACAAGTACACAGACAACAAACCCATCATTATCAATATGAAAGAATAAAGCAACTAAATAGTAAAAACAGTGACTTTGATTCGAGTATAAAGGGTTGTTTGTAATCGTAACAAACAATATGTTGATAAATCATTTTTAAATGCAACATGTAAAATGCATTTACACTCACCTAAAGGATTATTAGGAACACCATACTAATACTGTGTTTGACCCCCTATCGCCTTCAGAACTGCCTCAATTCTACGTGGCATTGATTCAACAAGGTGCTGAAAGCATTCTTTAGAAATGTTGGCCCATATTGATAGGATAGCATCTTGCAGTTGATGGAGATTTGTGGGATGCACATCCAGGGCACGAAGCTCCCGTTCCACCACATCCCAAAGATGCTCTATTGGGTTGAGATCTGGTGACTGTGGGGGCCATTTTAGTACAGTGAACTCATTGTCATGTTCAAGAAACCAATTTGAAATGATTCGAGCTTTGTGACATGGTGCATTATCCTGCTGGAAGTAGCCATCAGAGGATGGGTACATGGTGGCCATAAAGGGATGGACATGGTCAGAAACAATGCTAAGAAAACATCCCCTCACACCATTACACCACCACCACCAGCCTGCACAGTGGTAACAAGGCATGATGGATCCATGTTCTCATTCTGTTTACGCCAAATTCTGACTCTACCATCTGAATGTCTCAACAGAAATCGAGACTCATCAGACCAGGCAACATTTTTCCAGTCTTCAACTGTCCAATTTTGGTGAGCTCTTGCAAATTGTAGCCTCTTTTTCCTATTTGTAGTGGAGATGAGTGGTACCCGGTGGGGTCTTCTGCTGTTGTAGCCCATCCGCCTCAAGGTTGTGCGTGTTGTGGCTTCACAAATGCTTTGCTGCATACCTCGGTTGTAACGAGTGGTTATTTCAGTCACTGTTGCCCTTCTATCAGCTCGAACCAGTCTGGCCATTCTCCTCTGACCTCTAGCATCAACAAGGCATTTTCGCCCACAGGACTGCCGCATACTGGATGTTTTTCCTTTTAACACCATTCTTTGTAAACCCTAGAAATGGTTGTGCGTGAAAATCCCAGTAACTGAGCAGATTGTGAAATACTTAGACCGGCCCGTCTGGCACCAACAACCATGTCACGCTCAAAATTGCTTAAATCATCTTTCTTTCCCATTCTGACATTCAGTTTGGAGTTCAGGAGATTGTCTTGACCAGGACCACACCCCTAAATGCATTGAAGCAACTGCCATGTGATTGGCTGATTAGATAATTGCATTAATGGGAAATTGAACAGGTGTTCCTAATAATCCTTTAGGTGAGTGTATATGAGGCATTTACAATTATACCAATAATTCCAAGGAAGTTAAAAAGTGCAGTGATTTATCAAATATGTACCTCTTTTTGGCCTTTTGATGGGATCTGTCTTTGCTTTTCTTTTTATGCTTTTCTTTTCTGGTATCTTCATGAGAACCTGTGTACAAAGTTTCCAATCAATCACAAAATCATTCAGTGACAATGATCACTGCTAAATCTGAATCATGAGAACTGACAGTAATCTGAGGCCTTGTACACACTAATACATTTTCACTTGAAAACGCATCTTTTTCTCTCCGTTTTGGCCTTCCGTCCACACTGAGACGGCATTTTTGTCCTGCAAAAGTTTTTGAAAACGCTCTCCCAAGTGGGTAAATTTTCCGTTGTAGTGTGGACTGTGAAAACAGGTATTTTTTAAAACAATGAACCAATAGATATGTATGTTTAATCTCTTATTGGAATGGACTTTTTGATCATTTAAATTGGCAAAAAATATGGTCCATACAGCAACGGTTTCTCCTCATAAACAAAGTAAAAGAAATATCCTTTAAATCACTTCATAATATTTACCCAGTTAAAAATTTCCTTAGGAAAAAATTCAGATCTGATTTTGACACTACTTGCTCTTTCTGTCAGAATGACACAAACTCTTCTTCACTTTTTTTGGTCATGCAATTTTACTCGGCAACTTTGGAAAGATGTTAGTGGGTTTACCTCAACCATTATCTTGCAGAATTTCTCCATGATTCCCAAAACTGTTAGTTTGGGATTTTTTGAAGCTGATTCAAATGCCTGCTTTGTAATAAATCTAATTATTTTCCTATGTAGATTTTATATTCACAAATGTAAGTTTTTAAATTGTAAACCAATTTTTATGGTGTTCTTACATGAGATAAAACATTACTTGATTACAATTTCATCCTCTCTTAACCCAAAAGCACTCAGAACATGCACAATTTGCAAGACCTCCAAACTTTTTACTTTATTAAATGTTTAGATTTCTTTTCATTTAAGTAATGCCCTCTTTTTTTTCTTTTTCTTTTCTCTTTTTTTCCCCATTCTTGTTTACATCACTGTCTAAATGTTTTTGTTTTTGTGCTATGTTGCTGCTGTGTTATTATTATGTTGTTTCACACTGTAAACTGAATGTTTAAATAAAGCATATAAAAAAAAAAAAGATATGTATGTTTATACCGCTATTGTGCCTGTTATACACTTTCACACATTTGATCAAATATGTTACGTTGCTCACTCTTCATATCACTGTCCTGCAAAGATGACAGAAAATATACTCGCAAAATTGCTATCCTGTGTCAAATAAATAAGAGCAGTTGCATTTTAGACCAAACATATAATGGAGGATGAGAAAACGCTATTGTATACGGAGAGCGTTTTGAAACGAAAACAGCTTTTCAAATGTATCTGGATTAATGTAGACGTAGCCTCAGTAGTCAGGTAAATGTGCCAGCGAAATTCTTGCATTTCAGTCTAAACAGTGAAGGAACCTTTTGATTGGCTGCTGCCGAAGATCTTTTCTTTACTGACAGCTTCCTGTTCCTCCTCCTCGTCACTCTCCTCAGTGCTGGTGCTGCTCACATCCAGAACAATGTCCTTCCTCGGATCCACGCGAACAAAATTACGACATTCAAAAGTAAGGTGTCCGGCTGATGAAAACATTGGATGATACAAAGGAGATAAAGTATGAATATGGTGAGGCTGAACATTAATTAACATACAGACAAATATATACACAAGACAAAACACAATTCAAACTAAACTGAAAATTATATTATGTATGTTTATATGTGTAAACGACAGACAGACAGACAGGTATAAAGGCAGATAAATAGACAGATAGATAGGCAGGAAGACAGACAGACAGATAGATAGACACAGAGAGAGACAGACGGACAGAGATAGATAGACAGACAGATATATAGGTAGAAAGACAGACAGACAGGCAGGCAGGCATAAAGGCAGATAAATAGACAGATAGGCAGAAAGACAGACAGACACACACACAGACAGATATATAGATAGACAGGTAGAAAGACAGACAGACAGATAGATAAATAGACAGACAGACAGATATATAGATAGATAGACAGGTAGAAAGACAGACAGACAGATAGATGGACAGATAGATAGATGGACAGACAGATAGATGGACAGACAGATAGATGGACAGACAGATAGAGACAGACAAAAAATAGATATACCAGACAAAACTGTTTAAACTGTATATGTATGTTTTTAACTGTAGAAGACAGACATATAGAAAAATACAATTCAAATAATATGTATATTTTATAGATAGACAGAGCAGAATTATAGTTAATTTACTGATCGTCATACTCACGATATCCACATCTTTTACAACCAGCTCTGATGTTGTCTTTGTTTGGACCTGTAGGTAGGGAATTCAATGAGCTTATATCGCCTCAAGACGTCAATTCATGAACACATTATTACACATTAAAACCAACCCCAGCTAGAAGAAAACGTGTTTGCGGAAGATATTTAACAAAAACGTCCTTATCTAAAGAGATTTCAGGATTGATCTGGCTCACCGTTTATAAAACACCGAGCAGCCTAGCACTACATTATCAAAACAACGTATTTACATGAATTCGTACAAATCGTGAGTTAACAGTAACCCTAAACAGGTGTAAAATATGAAGTCTGACATGCAACGATGTGTGCTTGATGTGAATCGACAGCTCATATGAAGATAATAATGAAGTGGAGTGATATTTTCTAGAACAATCCAGAAGCATATCGACAACAAATGACAAAAACTAGCGGACAATCCATTAATATCTGCATAAGAATACCTTGGGCAGCCATCATCTACGTTACTCTACTGTTTATTGGTCTGAAGGATAACAGAGCAAAATAAAAAATAAGAAACTCGTTGTTTAGGTTCCGCCGCTTTTCAAAGCATGAAATCAAAGAAATCAATCCTTCTGGTAAAAGGCTCCGACTGGAAACACCCGGTACACACTGTGGTTCCACTTACAGACCGTTAAATCCCTCAAATGTGTTTGACAAATATTATACATTCAAAATGTAAACACAATAGAAATATAGATAAAAATCAAAGAGCACAATGTCACAAGATAATAATTACTGTCATTTGTTACTGTCACAGAGTTTTAATGGGAGCTCGAAACCTGCCTTGAGACGCATTGAAATCTAAAATTCTGTCTGTTTCGTTTTATATTTTTTACATTTACAACCTAAACATATTAAATACAGTGATTTATAAATCATATACAAAGAAATCAAAGAGACTATAGAAAATAGACTGCAAGCCGTCTGGTCAAGAATTTACACTTGAATGTTGTATTATACCCAGGTTTTAATACATATAAAAATGCACACAGAAAATGAGACAGCGTTTACTATCATTCATGTGAATTCTAGTCTTTAACAGGATAAATTAACATTTACTCCCTTACGATAGGGGGCGATAAGGTCGAAGAAGAGCGAGTGATCGAGACTGTCTGGCGGCATGACAGGATGCGCTTGTAAACATCACAGGAGAGAATAGTTCATATTTGTCAGACGTGCTTATGTTCTTCTAATATCTGCGTATATTTGTTGCTTTTTCTATCAACCAATGAAATAGTTTCGAGAGAAATATACCCTAAATAATAACACGCGTTAAAGATGAGCAACATATATATTCAAGAGCCACCCACTAATGGAAAGGTGAGTTTAAATATCATCTCAAACTCATATTCATGAAAATAATGAATACAATGATACTTCTGTGTGTCTAACTTCTCTTTTAGTTGTTCATATTGCAATAGTTATCAAGCAACGAATCAATATTAATATATCAATATAATTTTTTGCTTATGTTCTGAATCACATTTGATACATCAGGCATGATATACAGTGTGATACAACAGGAGAATATGCAAAAAAATGCAACTTGGTGCAGTTGCTGAAATTTATAAGGCTAAGAAGTAAGACGAAATTCTGAAACTTATTATGTAAATCAATGAGATCTTTATAACGGTACAGCATATACTTAAAATAAATAAATAAAATGCATATAAATATCGTTTGTCATTCTATCTCGCACAATAATATGTCTTAAAGATGATATTTAAATGCCTAGTTTTATGATCAAAGCTCTGTAGTTCTTTATTTTTTGGGGGTAAAACATATAATGAAATGCAATACAATGATGCCTGAAAGATGAACAAATAAATGTTCCTCAAAAACCTGATGTATCATATTTGATACTCATATTTTGTGTATGGATAATCAAGTAAACCTATGTCGCTTCAGCCCAGTAGTTAATGTTCATATTGAAATTTACTAACAAAATAACAGTTAAAGAATAAACATTAAAGACTTCACAGCAAAATATCAATATCATATGATAGAAAACATGTAGTAGATTGTGCACAACAAGTGTTCCAGTAAAGTTTTTATCATGTTGATAATTTACCTTAACAATTCATGTATCAAATATGATACCATAGGATTTATCAGGTTAATTTGAACTATTTTATATACTCTATCTATCTATCTATCTATCTATCTATCTATCTATCTATCTATCTATCTATCTATCTATCTATCTATCTATCTATCTATCTATCTATCTATCCAGGTGTTGCTGAAGACCACGGCGGGTGATATTGATATAGAGCTGTGGTCTAAGGAAGCGCCGAAGGCATGTAGGAACTTCACTCAGCTCTGTATGGAGGGTAAGTGGTGTCATATGCTAAAATATGCAGATATAAAATGTAAGGCATTTGTCACGATGCCAGTTTTTTAATCAAATACCTGCACTGTTCTTCATAAACATTGCTTCTGTTTTGCAGGTTACTATGATGGCACAGTCTTTCATCGCGTGGTGCAAGAGTTCATTGTTCAAGGAGGGGATCCGACGGGCTCAGGAACAGGCGGGGAGTCCATCTACGGTCGCCCTTTCAAGGTTGGTCTTTTCAAGATGAAATCAATGATGTACAAATACATTTGTCATGCATACAATTAGAGACCTATGTATGCCCTATGTATACACATTGTACGATTTTGGGCCGTCCCAAATAAAAGATGAGCAATCGTGGCGATTTCTGTGGTCGTGGTTTCTAAACGTTGTACAGTGAGAGAGGTTCAAAGACGGACGTTGACACAGTCTACACACACGTTGTTCCCAAGTTTATTACATCCATGTCGTACAGTGTGATTTGGAATGATCTTATAGGATTGTGCAGGAAAGGAAAGCATTGTAAATGTTACTATAGTTTTAAACAGTTTATCTTTTCCAATGCAGGATGAATTTCACTCCAGATTACGCTTCAACCGGAGAGGTTTGGTTGCTATGGCAAACGCAGGACCTCATGATAATGGGAGCCAGTTCTTCTTCACTCTCGGACGGGCTGATGAACTTAACAACAAACACACCATTTTTGGAAAGGTGATGTTTATGTTTATGCCTTTATGAGCCATTTGAAGGGAAAGTTCACCCCAAAAATGAAAACAGACTTTCTGCAAAATACACTACCGTTCAAATGTTTGGGGTTAGTATGATTTTTTTTTTTTTTGAAAGAAGTGTAATACATTTATTCAGTAAGGATGGATTAAATTGATCAAAAGTAACAGTAAAGACAGAAAATGTATCACTGTTTTCACAAATATAAAAATATGAAGCAGCACAATGTTTTCAGCATTGATGATAATCATAAATGAGCATCAAATCATCATATCAGAATGATTTCTGAAGGATCATGTGACACTGAAGACTGGAGTAATGATGCTGAAAATTCAGCTTTGATCACAGGAATAAATTACATTTGAACATATTACAATAGAAAAAAGCTATTTTAAATTGTAATAACATTTCTGCATTATTACATAGTCATTTGTCAGTCATTTTTATCCAAAACGACTTACAAATGAGGAATACAACAAGTGATTCATCTTCAGGAAATGAAAGCAATACAAAGTTCAGAATAGAACAAGCTAGAACAGAGAGGAACTCAGAAACAGTCAAGCCACAGACAAAGAGGTTTTTTTTGTTCTGTATTTTGTGAAATGCCCTGTTGAATTCCTTCTGTGTCACATGTGTGAGTTTGTCTGTTGTGATTTTGGCTGCAGGTCACAGGAGACACTGTGTATAACATGCTCAGGTTAGCGGCTGTGGAGTGTAACAGTGATGAACGGCCACTCAACCCTCACAAAATTCGAACCGCAGAGGTTTGTTTCTGTCCCCTGAATTGGCTTTACCATTTTAATTGTACCTTTGTTTTCATATGCAGTCCTTGACTGGTCTTACATTCTTACACAGGTCTTGCATTCGGCCTTTGAGGACATCATTCCACGTGAAACGAAAGTCAAAAAAGTAAAAAACAAAGAAGAAGGGAAGAAATCACAGTCCAAAGCAACCAAGTATGCCACACTTACACCTCTTTCTTTCTTTCTTTCTTCTTTTTTTTCTTTCTTTCTTTCTTTCTTTCTTGACAACATGACATTCACAATGCATTTAACATCTAGCAATGGTTCAACCTCTTTGACTTGAATTCCCCTTGTTGTCCAAAGCAATAATTGGAGGGAAAAAATAGAAGATATTTTTTAGCAATTTTGCAGTAATTATGACAAAAGCTGCTTGTTATAAGCTTTTTTTATTAAAAATGAATTAGCCATGATTCATTTTCTAATTCTAGAAGTTTCAAGAACTGTATGTCCTTCAATAAAACCAATGGCTATTGGGAGAGAAAAAAAAAGAAATATGCATCTTACAATCAGTATTACATCCAGTGTTATTTTAGTATTATTTATATACTATTATTATTAATTCAAATTTTAAATTAGCTTTTATTTTTATATTTTCAGTTTTCTTTTAAAAATAAAAATTATTTATAGTAATTTTGCTGTGTGCATTGCCGTTTTCATAATTTAAAAAAAATATTTCTTCTATATAGCTTCAATTTTATTTTTATTTAAATTTTTGTAATTTTAGCACTTCAACTCATTTTATTTCCATTAAATGCAAAGGCAACATTTCTACTTTTCATATATATATATATATATATATATATATATATATATATATATATATATATATTCAAATAGGTTTTTAAATATATTTATTGTTATTTTTATATATATTTAAATTTGCCTAAGTTTTATTTCAAATAACAAAAAAAGAACAATTATTTCAAACCAAAAAAGAAAACAAATTTTAATTTTAATTTGATATTTTTAGGTTAAATTTATATGTAGTTAACAGTAACAGTGATTACTATGATTCTTGCAAGCATCACATGGTCTGAACATTAAACTTTCAGAAATCATTCTGAACTTTGAACCACAAACATGAATGATACATCAAATCATGTAGATTGTCAATCTTATCAAAAACAGTCAGACTTAAAAAAAACGATGTTAAAAAATCCCATATATTTACAGAAAGTAAAGGGTCCATCTTTATTATATGATCTGTTTTTTTTTTTTTTACTTATGATTATATTTTTTGATTTAATTTTGTATTTTGATGCTGTACAATGACGTTTTAACCAGGAAGGTTTTATCACAGGAACTTCAGCTTGTTGTCGTTTGGAGAGGAGGCCGAGGAAGAGGAGGAGATGGTCAAACAAGTCAGCCAGGTGGGCTTGTGTCCAGTGACAGATATTCCTCTACGGAGGTGAATATTCATGTGTGGGGAAACGAACAGCAGGTGCTTTCAACATGTCCTTTCTTGCAGACCATGAAAGGGAAAAGCAAAAGCAGTCATGACCTGCTGAAGGATGATCCCAAGTTAAGCTCTGTTCCAGTCGTTGACAGGTCAGGAAACAAATCCCTCCGTCTTCACATGAATAATGTCATGATATATTAATGATACATTATCTTAAGCTTGCAGATGTAATCCATATTTGTGTAAAAAATGTATATTTTTAAATACATTTTATTTTAATATTTGTAGTTTTAAATATTAATTTTAGTAATTTCATATGTAGCGTTACATATTCGCTGTTTTAGTTTTATTTATTTTCAGTTAATGATTTTAGTGCTTCAACTTAAACTTATTTTATTGCCGTATATATCATATGATATATATTGCCAGGGCAACATTTCTAATTTTCGTATAGTTTAGGTTTTTCAACTAATAATATTTTATTGTTAACACTTTAGTTTAGGGTCTAATTCTCACTATTAACTAGTTGTTTATTAGCATGCATATTACTAGGATACTAGCTGTTTATTAGTACTATATAGAGCACATATTAATGCCTCATTCTGCATGACCATATTCTACATCCCTTGATCCTACCCAATTTTAGTTAACAATAATAACCCTAGTGTGAATGCTATATATACTATATATATATATTTTTTTTTGTATGTAAAGCAACCAAAGTGGAGGAGATGATGCGGACGATGATGTGGAGGACGACAGCGATCGTGAACTGGAGAGAGAGAAGGTCCGAGAGAACATTGCAAAGAAACTGAAGAAAGAAAAGACGGATGAGGAGAAGACCAATCAAGACACGGTGAAGAAGACCTCTCGCAGGTAATGCCCTTCGTCTTACCATGGGTTCTCTTCTGATGATGTCCTTTCCTCTTAGTGCACAGTTGACATTCAGTATTTAATAATACTTGTGAATTGTACTTCTGAAACGTCATTCACACAACTGGAATCATTTGTTTTCAGTGAGTGTTTGTGAGTCGAGTTGACAGCAAATGAGCGATGCCATGTGGTGATTATGGTAAAGAGTTACCATAGAAGTCATTATGGTAAAGAGGACCTAATAGTCTTTTTGACATATTCAACTGTCTTTAGTGTGTAATAACGACAATACAGACTTTTTACAATACAGATAGTTTCAAAGCATCTTTACAGTGATAACAGGAAAATAATGCAACAAAGTTTGTATTGCCTGTACAGCAGAACTAGAAGAAAATAGCATCATAGTCCAGCTTAAGTAAGTTCAGTGATCTGATGGTTCATTTTTGTTATAAAAAAGTTATTAATTCAGTTAAAAATATATATATATATATGGAGAAAACACTGATGTCATCATCCAGTTGAGTTCTCTTGTAATGGTGTCAACATCACAATATTCCTCATTTAAATAACTCCCACCCAAGGCATACGCAGAATAAAGGGGCGGGGTCTAGTTGAGTTAATTACTTGTCTGTTGAAACTCATGGTGGAAGCAGTTGACCAATCACAACACACGGATCCAGCTGACCAATCAGGGGCCAGTTGCATAAACATAGTCATTATGTTAAGAAGACAGTGGCTTAAAGTCACCCTGTGGTGAAAATCAAGCTTTTAATGTTGTTTATGTCTATGTAGTGCTTTTAATATGCTTTAAGACAAATCACGTGCAAATTCACAAGTCAACATCATTTGCTGAGTATTTATTTTCTACTTAAAACTGCAGTGAACCAAAGACAGTCTCAAAAACGCGGTTTGAAATCGTTGGTGTTTCTGACGTCGCAAACTACCTTGTAACCAATCAGGTCAACGTGTGATCGTCAACCAGTGGATCTCTGAGCTGGAGTGAGTGAGTGGAGGCGGGGTTCATTTGCATATTCATAGAACCGCGTATACTAAATGAGGCAAGGGTGTGGAGTTACATTCAAGCTATTTTAAGGCATGAAGCAATTATTTTTCAAGGAAAAAACTTTTAAATATGTAATTTTGGTGATCAAAGATGAGTTTTAAGGTATAAAATGATTGACTAGAGAGGGACTTTAAGTTCTAGTATGACCCACTAGCAGTTGTTTTAAAAAAAGCTATGAACAGTCTTAAAGAAGATATTGGGATAGATATAGGATAAGGCATAAACCTGTGCCAAAAATCTCTATATTATTAGTGAGCCTGAAGCAGTCCCTGGTGTACTAGCATCAGTGTTCGGGGGTTTTTCAATTCAGTTACCTCTGTACATCCTGGCGGACCAACGACCTGAAGAGTTTAGCTCCAACACACCTGAACCCACTAATCAAGGACTTGGGATCAACAGAAACTGTCAGGCAGGAGTGTTGGAGCTAAACTCTGCAGGAGCAGGATTGCTCAGCGCTGCTGAATGTGCTGGGGATAGAGCATTTAAAGTGTGTCCAGCAGAAGGCACTGTTGGTCTGCAGGATCAGACGCACATTCTCTCCAGGGATGCGGATGAGTTCCTTTGGCATTAGTGTCACAAAATGTTTTATGTGTTCTTTGTGTTCTCCTAAACTGGGCTGAAGCCCTGTACCTCTGTATTTTTTTAATAGAATTTCTCTTTCCATCTTAATATGACAACTTTAAGTAATCTAACACTTTAAAATTTTGACTTATTTTATAAATGTAACCAATATTAATGTTTTATTAGGTTCTACATGGCCAGTAAATAGGAAACTGATTGGTTGACTGATTTTAAACACTCATGATTAATCCCTACTTTGAAATGCAGTCTTTTTCCAGTCAGCATTGTGTCTGACAACCTGAGAGAGACTTTTGCACGTAATATGCACAGTTAATTGCTAAAAAGATTTGATACTTTAGTGATATCGGACCCTAGTGTAGAGTTTACATTATGATATTTAAATGCATGTTTACCAAAACCAGCTATTAAGTGCACGCATTAAGTTTTACTTAAAATGTAAAGTTGAAAAAAATTACTCTTATTTTCAAAATTGATTATAATAATGTTTAAACATCTGAACTGTTTGTTGACAAGTCGGTTTTAAGGAAGTGCAGATTCGAACAGAACACGTTTCTAAAAGTTGAACTATTTTAACTTGGCAGTCACCTTAAGAACTCAAAGCTCATATGAGAGACCCCTACAAAGTGATGTCATACCTGCACCACTCTATAACCTATTACTATCAATTTATTAATTTAACTGGACAACTTCTGACAACTTAAAAATATTAATTTAATGAAAAAAAGGTGTCTATTGAACTTTAAAAATAAAAATTGTTGAGTAATGCAAGGAGCTGCAAACCTCGTTCTTTCACCTTTACGTTTGATTTGCCTCATAAAACTAGAGGCAAACGTATTATTATTATATTACCTGTTTGTCAGATATATTAAACCCAACCATTTCAGTGAGATGCACATACTTAACAGAAATCTCAAACACAAATCATCAACAAATGTTAGTTTAGTAAAAAATATGAACTCTGAACCACATGGCAGCTAACAGTGACAGCAGTTACCATATTTTTTTAACTGCAATGTATGCTGGGAAAATACACAACATTTTGCAATGTAAAATTGTTTGTTCAGATGAAGTTGGGACAACATGTTTTGAACAAATACATGCATCTAAGTAAAGCCGGGTGCACGCTGTAGGGTTTATAATAGTCCTTTACGATTGTTGCTTGTCAGACTTGATCCTCACTGTAAGCCATGTCATACTGTAAGACCTCAGTTGACTTTAATGTCAGACTCTACAGCAGTCAAGACTCCTTAAAAACGGTCAATCCGTGACACGTTCAGTGACTGTGAGCAGCATTTACATGCAGGATAGGAATGCTGGCTAGCAAACAAAAATAATCTGTAGCATTAATTTTAAATCATGGCTTATCTCTTGAAAAGAAAACTGAAAAAACAAACAAAGAAAAAAAATTATGTGTGTGGAGCAAGTGGAGGTTTGTTGTTGTCTCACTAATTGTCATCAGGTTCTTTGCTCCTATTGGTTTTTGATTTGACGGTCGCCATAAGAAAAGCCACATTGCAGGACTGTGCCTCAAAACTTCTGACACTGCCAGAGTTTCATCAGTGGTAAAATCTGATCGCAACGGTCATTAATTGGCTGTCAAACTAGCGATCAAAGACTTCAGATTCTGGCCTAGGATCAGACGAATCTTTTAGGATTAGGATTCACAAAATTTGTCTCAGACGGCCAAATCGTGGCCAGAATCGAACAAAACAACTTTTGTTAGGAACGTGTTTAGAGTATTCTTGTTCAGATAGCACAAAATAAACGGACTCCTCTTGCTAAAACATTGTTTTGCATTTGTTAGAAGAACTTTTTTGACGCATGTCTACATTTATACAGAGCAAGAGCAACATTTAAATAAAATTGTGATGATTGAATCCAAGAATGAGCAGCATTTTCACAGATATGTATTCAGGAAATAAACAGGCCAAATATCAATAACCTTTGATTGCACAAAGCTATTGTGGTTAGTAATTTACTAGTATTTGTTATTGAGTAAATGTAACAGAAATTTAAAGGGAGTTAAACTTCTTGTAGCATGTTTTAGCTTTCTAATTGGCTATTACTAGTATTGGTAACTGCAAATGTATTTTTGGCGCTAAATTTCCACAGGTGCCACAAAGCAAAAAAACATAAAGTCCACAATAATAGTTGGATGTACTGAGGTTTTTTTTGTCAGTCAGCTCACTGTGATCTCAGCGTGTTGCTGGTTGACCAGACGCCTGCTTCCTGAAGTTTCTAAAGACCAGTGGCACCTGCAGTGGACCAGAACTGTGGCACAGTTGCTCCTCGTCCTCAGTGGACCCGCTTCAGTGGACACAGCCAGGTCCCTCAAGGTGAAGGAGATTTCTGACTCAAAAATCAAATTACTCTGCCACAGCAGGGGAAAAAGGTGCACTCCTGCCAATCTGGCAACCCCAGCACTGCTGCTCCTGAGAGACCGCGTCTTACATTAGAGAAATTAATTGTAAACGTGCTTCTGGAGTATTTTTCTTTCTTTGAAAACAGTTTGAACGTCTCTGTCGATGCAGTGCTTTCTTAGCGAGCTAGTGTTGACTTTTCTCTGTGCTCAAAGATGCTTCATTTCATCCTTGCATTTATTTCGCTCAATTACAAAAACAGAGACCCTGCTCAGGGTTGGTTGGAAAATTCTGAAACAAATGAGGTTGATGAATCCCTGAAAAAGAGTAGCATATTTCTATGGTACTACAAATGATGGCTTAAAGGTATAAGCCGTCTAATTCAGTGAAGGGCCAGTTCTTTCTTATATTTAATAATGTGCAAAGTAGAACTGACTGAGATTTTTATTGTTTGTCTGTCCAAAACTGTCTGCAATGATGTTAGGGTGCTGTGAATGGTTGTTAGGACGTTGCTATGGGGTTACTAGGGTATTCTGGGTAGTTGAAATGTCGTTACTTATTGAAAAAAAAAAATTCCCCCTCTAAATTTGACATGCTTGTTGAGCCAATAATTAATTTTCATGTTGTGGCTGATAACCGATAATTCATCTAAGGATACGTTTACACAACAATGATGTTAAAAAAACTGAAAAGTTTTTCCTTTGCATTAATGAAAAGTTTTTCGTACATGTGCGTTAAATGATCCTGTTCACACGGATCCCCAAAAGCGACTAAAAATGCTGTATTATTCATGCCAGGCCAGTAGATGGCGATGTCACCCATAGACTGAACACCTAATACGCATGCGCATGACGTCATCGTTTTCACAAAGTTTTTGTAGTTTACACAGAGACGATAACGGTATCATTTTCAATAACGTGCATGGAGGCCCTACACGGCCACGGATAATGTTTTCTTTTTCTTGTTTTCTAATAAACGTTATCATCACGCGATCACGA